ACAATCTCAACTTATTATTATTATCAGATAAAAGCTTAAAAATTAGAATTCACTTTACATAGCGCCATGTAATCCGAAAATTAATCAACACTATTTCACACAAATATCTGTAGTACTATATTATTTTGTAATTTTTCCAAATTTACCCCCTTTTCCGATTAAAGAACTGTAATTCGTCCATTAATGTCACATGACATATCTCATGATCTCTCATTTCCCTCACACAAAATAATGCGTAATCGGAACTGAGTACTTCTCGCATTATTACCAAAGTCCTAGGTAGTAACCTTTATCGCCTCCAAAATGTCGCCATACTACCTGTTACCATATTCCAAAGATCAGCCACTACATTTAGTAAGGAATTATGAGCCAAATAAAATAATAACATCTGCCCTGAAGATAAGGATAGTGCTGACAGATCAACTTCCAATTCATTGCGTGCGCCGCGACATTCCAGTGAGTGTTGCATTGAGTCCATGATGCATTTGGACTGACTGCAAGCAGATGAATCATAAAGCTGCTTCCCCCCTGCATATAGCTTGCGTGTCATTCATATACACCCCGATACATGTGATCTAATCTAAATCTTTGGATTTTATATAAGTGTTGAGAGTCTTGAATATTTCTAGTTAGTTCTTGAATAATTGGTTCTCAAAATAACACAATTAAACAATAATTAACAATAATTAAATTCATGAGATTTGTTATTCCATATGTGCTGTATGCAAACAACCAGCAAAGGTAAACCTTGTATATCAGTGTTGTCATCCAGCTGTAGCAAAAAAAAAAAAAAAAAAAAAAAGAAAGAAAATCAGATTTTTGTTAACTGTTTGGATTAATTGATTTTCTGCATTTTGAGAGTTTCAACTTCGTTTAAGTTCTTTTCCAAAACATAACTTTAGCTGCACCCTTTGATTGCTGGTAGCAGTTCAGTTTTGCCAACTGTCTTCAGCTTATTACTTTTCACAGTTTGATATCTGATTAGATATGAAGCTTGTATAGCATTTTTGTTGATCTTGGTGAAGTGCAAAAATTTTGTTTTTGACATTTTTTCATGCATGCAGCTTTCATTTGAAAGAGATTTATTTGATTTTTTAAATTAGTGTGCATTGTCTTAATGTGCCGAAGTAATTTACTTAGGTGCATGCTTATGTTTGCAAGTATTTTTTTTTCATTTCAAATACAAACTCAGGTTTAGGATTATTTTCATCTTCATTCCATAAAAACCTTAATGCTAAGTAGTTAGAATCATATTTCTTTATCACTTTTCTTCATGTCAGTTTCTTTGAGTTGTAGATTTTCTTTCATCATCGTCTTTATCGTAATAAATTTTGATATTCTTCTGTTACGAGAACTGGATTCAGAAATGGATGGATTTAATATATGCATATGTATGTATATGTGTGTTTACACACATGCATATACGTGCATACATGTGTACATTTCTGAATCCGGTCACGATAACAGAAGAATACCTAAATCTTCTGTATCTGTAAATCTTATGTATCTGTAATACAGAACTGATAACATAGATGAAAAAGCAACACAAAATAAATGGTAAGAGTAATACAAATGATAATGAACCACTGGAAAATTAATGCATATGCAAACTGAATTGAACATTCAGAGGGAAAAACAGTTTGATTAGGCAGGCAGAGTCTTGGGTATTGCATGGAAACATAACTTTAAACGAAGCTGCAGATTTGAGCAACACGTACATTTTGTGCAAAAAGAGGGTTCTTTATATCCGTGATTCATATGCTGAAAAAATGTTAGTTTTCTTTCTTAACCCTCTGAGCGTTATGGCCGGCTTTATCCAGTCATCAGAAGTTTTGTTACTTGCCATATATTAGCTTATAATTTAAGATATTTTGCTTTCTTTCTTTCTTTAATAATGCAAATATTGTCTTAATGAATGTAAGTTTGTGTTTGTGAAAATATAGACTAAAATAAGTAATTATGCAAACTCAATAAGTGCTGTTTAAATACCAGTCTTCATGACGGATCTAAAATCCTGTAATACTCAGAGGGTTAATTTCTTGTCATTTGACACAAATGACTTGTTTGTGTATTGCAGTACTTTTTTTTATTAAGATTTTAATTTTAATAAAGGTTTTTAAAGCCCACATCACACTTTGACAAATTGTGGAAAAGTACATACACATTTAAAGTCTCTTCACCAGTCATGGTTTGGAAAGTGCTAGTCTAGTGCAGTGAAAAAATTATGTTAATGCTTGATACCTATATGCTTTATATAACATTCCAAATATATCTGTAGCTTTTTTTGGGGGGGGGACTTTACAGCAAAACTATATTACAGTACAAAGTTCGAAATCTGGACTCTTCGAAACTTCTGTGATTCCGGATATTAGAGCATCAGTTTAAATCTAGTAAGATGGCATGTAGAAGTTGTAAAATTAAAAAATATGAAATTGTGATTTATGAAGTATTTATGATCCAAAGCGTATCAAAATTTACAAAGAAAAAGCTTAATATTTATTGCTATTTCGGGAATTCCGACTAACCTGCCAATTGAAATTTTCTCGTTTTCAGTCACTTTCTTCACTATTGGTAGCAGTATTTTCTGGATCTAGAACCAGATTTCGCCATTTATTAATTGATTGATTATTGAGAAGCATTGTCATCACAATGAAAAACTTGTATATCATCTACATTTATTACCATTTCTCCACATTTCTTTACAAAATCTGTTAACTGGAAAATTTCACCTTTGTTTTGCGATATCCGAAAACCTTTAGAATTAGCGGCTATCATCATCAAATTTAGCTATTCTTCACATACATACTTGGCATGCATCATGAGCTGGCAAAACGAACGTAAGTTGTTCCGTTAATTTTATCTTGCTTCTATCGCGACTGAGACAATTAAGCCTGAATTGTATTAGTTAGTTATTTATTAACGTCAAAAGTCGTTAACCCGGACTCAGCGTTTCCGATTAAGATCATCAGTTTTAAATCTCGAAGATGGCATGCAGAAATTCTAAAATTAAAATATGAAACCGTAATTTATGAAATAAAGAACCTTATGATCTAAAGGGTATCAAAATTTACAAAAAAAAAAAAAAAAAAAAAGCTTTATATTTATTTGTTTACTTTATTAAACATTCTTTCAATGTAAGTTGTTAGGGCTTTGTTATGTGATAATACTTTCTCTTTATTCTATAAGCAGACATACTTTCTTGTTCAGTACAAAGTTCTGCTGTTCAAGTCGTAATTGCGTGCGCGAAGACGACTAATTTGTCAATCGAAATTTTTTCGTTTTCATTAATCTCTGTCACCTTCTTCTCTTTATCCTTTGGCAGCAATTCACTTTGTTAATGACATCGAAACTACTTCGTTTTGTAGATCTTTGGAAGTTCCAGCATCGGAAATTCTTTTCGACATAATCGAAAGTTTACTTTTATAAAATTGCTCTTACAGTCTGCAAAAAATAATAAGCCGCTCCAATTCGAAGATTAAGGAACAACGCAATCATCACATTAACTGAAATAGATAATTAGATCTTTTAGCTTATACCACCTATACATTTCCCGCGCACGCGAAAACGTATTCTGTACTTGCGCACACACACGCGCAGTCAAGGTCTTACGCGCACGTGTCAATGCGGCGCATGCGCAGAAAGCTTTTAGCTTTGAGGTCCGGATTATGGGGGTCCGAATTAACGAGGTTTGACTGTATTTATGTCTATTTCTTGCACATGCTTATCAGAGTTCTGAATAAATAAATTCCCACCATATGTGGGAACTAATAATTTCTACTTATTGAGGGCCGGTGCTAGATATCTTACCGCCTGGTGCAGTCTCTGTGGGTCCTAAATTCTGTGACTCGATGTGGCCATACAAGCGCTGGTTCTGGGTTTATGTGAATGACAAATCAGTGTCTTAATTCATACAGCCTTAAATGTAATGTTTGGGTCTATGAGTTACAAAATCTGTTTTTAGCATATGGAACGAAATTTTTGGTAAATTTTTCCCCCTTCAACAATTTTTAGTGCATTTAACTTAAATCTGTAATCATCGCCAAGCATGATGTCAACCTAAAAGGTTACCGCACTCCTTTAATTATTCAATTACTAACATAAATGTTTAGGCATCGCTACATAAGTCATTACTCAATTTGTCATGTTTTGATAAACATGCCGTGATGAAAGGAATGTATAATAAATAATGATTCGCCAGGTTGGCGTCAAATCAACGATGGATCTAGGAGGAATGTGTTGGTTTGAGATGTATGCTAAGCAGATATGCAGCAACGGAGCCAAATTACAGATCGTACAAATTTATGATAAAATGGTTGTTTCTTTAATAACAAGGAATTTTATTTAGTGTCGATGTAAAATTAAGAATCGGGACTCTCCAGGTGTTTTATTATGCTCGGAAGGGCGAGAACCCTACGAGAAATGTTGGCGGTGGTTTTGAGGTCCGGATTTTAGATCATACCGGATAATGGACGTCCAGATTTCAGACTTTGTACTGTACTATTCTTTACTCAGCTTTTAAATTCGTAACAGATTGCTTTCATAATTGATTCGTAACAGATTGTTCTGAATCTAAGAAACTGATTAACTGCACAGAAAATTCTGTCTGTAATTGCTTACAGACAGAATTTTATTTTAGGAAAATTTAAGACAGAATCATATTTTAGGAAAAGCAGTTGAGATATTATAGTAATAAATGCTATCAATTATTGTTTTTCAGGTTTGCTAGTAATTTGTTTAAAAAAAAAGTTGCAAAGTGCTTTTTATTTGTGCGTTCCAAACTACTACTATTTCTAAATTATACTGGTAATGCCTGCTACATTTGAGATGTACTTTATATGTAGCATTTAAACTTAAATTTTCCCATTGCATCACTAAATATGTATGGTTCTAGTTTAGGTGACTTGAAACTACTATATTTTTCAAAGTGGACAACTGTTTATCAATATTAATTCTAGACAACTACTTTTTTTTATTATTATTTAAATATCAAGAAACAGTTTTCAGCAATAGTTTTGCAATTGTTTCCTGCTATATATTATGTCAAAGGTGGTCGAAAAGTAGCATTCATGGTCATATATTTAAAACTTGCATATGATGAAAGTAATATCTTAATGCAATGTTTAAGTTATGCATTTTTTCTATATATACAGCTGCTATTAATATTTCTGATTTCATATATGTAACTGATATTAATATAAAATTATTTTTCTATTTTTAGACAGTGGAAGCAACTAATAGCAATTTATTCATTGCTTGCCAGTCCTCTCAACAGCCTTTAGCAATCAACGAAATTAGCATTACTGAACTAACTTTAGCACTTCAAGCACATATGAGATTTTCAATAGTACCTAGCCCATTTGTCATACGCTATGGTAATGTAGGTTATAATGTAGATAATAGGAATGCTTTTGAACGTAGATCATGTAGCCTTAATGTGTTTTCAACTGCACACACACAAATTGATTATGTGCATCATTTGGTTCCTGATTTACTTGAAATTACCAACTGCAGTTTCTATTGGGGGAAAATGGATCGTTACAAAGCTGAGAAGCAACTGGACAAGAAACCAGAAGGAACATTTCTGCTGAGGGATAGTGCACAGGAAGAATTTCTATTTAGTGTCAGTTTTCGACGTTATGGACGCACTCTGCATGCACGTATTGAGCAGCTGAATCACAAATTTAGTTTCGACTCTCATGATCCCAATGTCTTTACATCTTCAACAGTGTGTGGTCTCGTAGAGCACTATAAAAATCCCCGATGTTGCATGTTTTTTGAACCCATGCTGACAATACCAGTACATCGTACTTTTCCTTTTGATTTGCAGCATTTATGTCGTGCTGTGATATCTGACTGTATTAGTTATGATGGAATCAATGAATTGAAATTGCCTAAAAAAATCAAGGCTTACCTGAAGGAATATCATTACAAACAGAGAGTGAGAGTCCGTCACCTTGAAAATGATAATTTAGTTTAATTAACATCAATGTATTAGAGATGTGTAATTATTCAGATTCATCAAATATTAAATTATAGCAAATTATTCCTCCTCTTAAGCAAATACTGATAGATGTTTTTTAATCATGCAGGGTTTTATTTTCGTAGTTTCTATTGAAACATGTTAAAAACATACAGAAAAGTGATTAAAATTATGTGAACAAAAAATGCTAATAATGTAAATCTAAAATTGAATATAACACACTTATATCCTCATTTGAGCTTTTAGGAAGCGGAACTGTATGGAATTTTAATTTTTCATCTTTGTACATGTCATCTTTTTATAAGGGAAAAGGACAATTTTTAGTTATTTTATTTTTATATTGTGATGAGGCAAAGTGACGTTATTTATTCTTGAGATTATATGTTGTATATAGTAATAAGGGATTCATTAAAATCAGCTTTTAATGAAAAATTAAATTATTTTTATAAAAACAAGAAAATGTTTGAAAACTTGTATGTGTATGTAACTTGGTGGTAATATTATTTGAATAATTAATCAATTATTTTTAATTTTTCAATGTATAAATTATCTTTATTTTTTTAATTTTGCATTTAAATTTTATTAAATGTGTATCTGTCTTATAATTATTACATGAATTTTGGTGATAAATCTCATTATATCTGTTTCCAAAAGTACATTTAAATGTACTGACGTAAAAATAAATTTGAATCTAGTAAGATTTAAACAAAGGATTTTATTTAAATCCTTTGTCTTAAATGACAAATGTTTATACGGTACGGTGTCTGAGATCCGGTAAATTGCCAGGGCTTCAGTCTCTCAAGATTTAAGATTTTTGGTAACATAACATGTAAACATGTCAACAGTAGAGCTTTGCTAAGTGTTAGTTCAGGTAGGAGAATGCAAACCCTACCACAGGGCTGGTTGCAAAAAAATTTAGAATTTACAGGAGCACCAAGCAGCAAAAATTTAGGATAAGTACTAGGGAGCAGAAATTAGGACCCGCTGAAGTTGCAATGATCAGCAAAATGCATAGTGTCACCCTTGCCTCTCTTGACAACCACTTGAGGGCTAAAAGTGTGATCCTGACCAACATCAGTATGCTATCAATCAGTGTATTGTTATTCGCGACCATGCTCCAGGAGGTGTTTGAAAATGACATGCATAAATCTCAGTTCAGAGAAAAATTGCATTTTATGGCACGCCTGTTCCACCCCCTGTCTTTTTTGGTTTGTTTGTTTTCAGCAGCACTATATTCTGCATTCCTAGATTTTGTTTGGGAGATTATGATTTTATTTTGAGTTTGTACAGAGATCCGGATTTCAGACTTTGTACTGTAATCTTATTCGGCGAGTTTGTTGTACATTATTTCATAGCTGCCAACTCTCCTGGTTTTCCATCATATCATCCGGTAGGTGACCGAATCTCCATTTTAAATTTTGAGTCTTTATTTAGGAAAGTAATTCCCAAGAATAAATGAAACTTATTAATTTAATTCAACTTAACATGTGAAAATTCCATTTTAACAGAATAGTATAGACATTAATTTTATTCCCTTCATATTTCAAAATATTTATTTCATATATTTAAAAGAACTTTGATAGGTCAAAGCTTTTTTTCAATACTCAGGATTATCTCAACAGAAAAGAGTAAGAAAATTGCAGAATGAAATTAACGAAAGAGTATAAAACTTGGACTATCTAATTAAATATGAATTACTTTACGACATTTAACATATTTAGAATCGCATTATAGATTAGTAACTTGAATTATGCATTATAAAGTATATTTCAAGTTCTTTTGAAATGCTTTTGTTGCAAGTTTCGAGAAATTCCCGGTTTTTTGTACTTCAAGGTTGGCAGCTATATTACTTACATGGCTTTTTCCCCATTGTTTTTGTTATTTATAATTCAAGCGAAATGTAATAATAAATTTTTATTGGTGATTTTTGTTTGAAGAATTTAGATTTATCATTATATTCATTTACAATCTTGATAATGTTTGTATTGGTAATATTTATGGAAAAATTTGAATGTGTAATTGATATAAATATTGATTATTTTTTAATAGTATAAAACTAGATTGCATGTAAAGTTGAACTTCATTGAACTTGTATTAATTTACAATCTCATTTATTGTAAGTAAATTATTTAAGAAACGTTTAATACCAGATATAATAAATACTTGTAAAACTATTATTTTCCCATATAAATTTTATTATCTGCATGTATATGCATGTATGTATGTTTAACCTCACCAGATTAATTAATACTGCCTTGAAAGATCTGAATGCATAAGATAACTAACTGTTGATTGTCTTTCGTTGTGACTAACATTTTTTATCTGTTATGCAACTGTAAATATATCTGTAAATTTGTATAAATTTTCATGAAAATCATATTGAATAGATTCTAGGGTAAAATGAAATGTATGCAAATTTTTAGGAAAGGAATTGTTTGTGTGCTCTGCCGAAGAGAAGATATTAATCCAGTGCTTTCCATATCAGCTAATCCATTTGGCTGTTTCTTTTAGAGGGTAAAAATCATTCATCTGTATCATATTTCATTATAAACATACAACAACATATTAAAATGCATTTAAAATTGAAGATCTGAATAATATTTATCAAATATGCAATCTTGCAGAATTATGCATATAAAGTTTGGTTAAACAAAATATAAATACCACTGAAATGAAAAGAAAATATCTTGTTATCTCAATGTTTTGTTGGAAGTACAGAATATATGAAAAGATGAAGTGCTGTACATCTTACTTTATATTCTATATTTCCAGAAAAACTGTTTGGTGATCTGCATTGAAGGATTTAAACAAAGAGCTGTGATTTTGGACATCTTTAAACATATAACTGTACCAAATATATAAAAAAGGAAAATGGAAAAAAAAAAAAAAAAAATCTGTTTAGTAATTTTGTGTTGTAAGGTTTCTGTGTTTTGCACTTAAAAATACAAGTTAATTAAAATGAAAGTTTTGTTTTGTGCAGATTATTATAGATTGAATGTATTTTAGCTTGTATTCGGTTTCTAATGGTTAGGTTGCTTCGTATAAAAAGTATCTTATCTTTATTTTATGTATGTAACAAGGCACAGTTACAACATGTTATGCCAGGTATTTTCTAATAAATTTTTTTTAAATGCTCAGGAATTTTTGTTTTACTTTTTCAAAAAGATACACAGGCATTAGTTGGAGCAGTTATTGAAAATAAACTGAATTAAACCTGACTTAGTTACAGTTTTTTAATATAAAATTTAATTTTTAAATAATTTAAACATTTAAAATAAATGTGAATATTAATTGCATCCTTTCATATGGTACAAGTCAAAGGGGGGGGGAATTGCAGTCTAAATTGTTGAGATTTATATTCGAGCATCTCAGAAATGATATAATATCTATAACTTTTTATTTTAATGTGAGAGAATATGTAAATACTTTGATACTTAAAAGTAACATCTACTCCTGCCAGTCCATGAAACTTAAATCTTTATATTAATAATAATAAGAGAATTTCATCTTTAAGAGATTTCTCATTGAATGTCGGATGATATACATAAAAAAATACCAAAATGTTGTATGTTATCCTTTAAAGAAAATTAGAAACAAGTATAGATGCTTTCAAAAATTGCATGCAAAAAAAGGTTTTGTCCAGCAAATCAATATTATTCTGATTGCTGATAGTTCAAATAAATAAATTCCCAATCAATCTATTATAAGTATTAAAACATATGTTATTTATGACACTTGTAGCATGAAATCCACTTGTTATTAAATGTTATGAAGTAGAGATAAATTTATGATGAGTGAAAAATCTTTGCATTGCAATTTGGTGACTGAACCAATTTATGATGGATATGGTTTATTACAAACTGAAAGCAATAATTACCTCAGAGAGGTTTTCCTTTAAGCTACCAAGAAGGTGGAGACCAACTTATCTCATACTTTTAACTTCTATTAATTACAATTTGAATCTTCCATTTTCTGTAGCATAAATGCAATGTAGTGTTTTGACTTTTAAATATTAAGTAAACAATTACAGAATTAAAATGTTTAGAATGCAATTAAATTTGGTTTTGTACTTCATCTAGAAAACATTGTTAATTTTGTACAAGATAATATTGGTCTACTACATGAAAAAGATTTTTTTTATATTGTTTGAAAATCTTCAGATGCAGAATAAAAATAATGGTGTGTATGTTTTTATGCAAGAGTACAAGCAAAAATTTGTGTTAATGTTAATAATGCAAAGCAGTAGAATAATGTTTTTATATTACCAAAAATTTCTCAAAATAGAAAATGGAACATTATTGAGTATTTATGTCTGAAAGGTAAAAACTTTCAAAAATTACATATCGGTATAGAAGAACAATTTTTCTCTTCTACATTAAAAAAATTTCTACACTTTTGTCATTTCAAAAGTGAGCGAGTTTGATTGTAAATAGATCAGATGAGTTTGATTTTCCTATTAACATGTTATGCATTAAAATTAAATATCTATAGGAATGAATGACTGGTGTTTTCCTTAAATGCAGGGTTCGTACGGTCCTTAGATTTTTTGGAAATGATTTTTGGTCCTTAAAAGTCCTTGATTTTGGCCAAAATCAGCAGAAGGTCCTTAATTTTAATCATGTGTCTGTTATTACGACTGACATTTTGGTGTGAATTAGCATTTTGGAGGAATATTTTTTGCCGATTTACTGTCATGTATGGTTATCTTTTGAATGGGTTCATGAGTTATAATTTGTTTCTAATATAAATGATGGGATACTCGAGTTTCTAAGCAAGAAGTCAAACACAAGCATTTCAAAATTCATTTTTTCTAATAAAGAGCTTTTGAACAACTTTTCGCTTTTGGGGATGTGAATTCTTTCATTAAACGGTTCTAAATTTGGCGACTTATCAACATTTTGGTAATTTTAAGATGAGTTTCTATAGAAAATTTTTAGGCGATTTTTTTTTTTTTTTTTTTGTAAAACATTGTAACATTGATAATTTTAATTAAAATAATGGTAATATATTGAAATTATATTAAAAAAATAACATTAAAATAAAACATTTTTATTTTTCGCTGTCATATTATAAGCTTTAATTTTGGCAACTTATTATACAATATTTTGAATCTGAAAAATAAACAAGGTATAATGCTATAAAGCACAATTTACGAAACAGCTCTTAGCAAAAGCAAAATTAGCTATGTAATTAATTAAAAATGTCTTCTTTTTAATTTTTTCATAGTAAGCGTTTTTCCCATGTAATTTTTTCAGAATATTCAAACTTCTCAGAATATGCATCAGTTTTCTCTATAAAATAAATTTTATGCTTTTTCCCTCCCCCCTTTTTTTTTTTCCAAAATATTTCTGGCTTTTTGCTGTTACAAATTGGTAGGGATAATTTTTCTTTAGGATTTTAGACATTGCAGCTTGGAAAGTTTAAAAGAATTGGAAGGCAAGATTTATAGACCCACGATTACAGAAGATTTGAAAAATGTCTCCATGGTATTAACACGTAATGGATGTATTTTACAGAAAGTTTGAGATGAATTTCTTACTTTTCGGAAGACATCTGGAAGAACAATGAAAACATAATATTTGAATGTTTTATGTCTGATACTAGAATCATTTTCTTAGCATGTTTATCTTCCTTTATTTTCTCTACTTTTCCCTAGACACAAGCATGGAAATTATCAAAAATGCTACTAATCTTATCACATAGGCAGGCATTATAGAAAGGGATTTTTTTATTAATAAAGAAATTAAAAATTTATAATTTAAAAGATTCACCTAATATGTCTTAATGCATCATACACAGAGCTGGCACTACGCATTTTCCCACCTGATGCAATCTCTGTGGATTCTAAATTCTGCTTCCAATGCCCTCTCTAAACTCTAAAAGTTTTGCCATTTCTAGATTTTGTTGTTCAGTGTGTCACTAAATTCTAAAAATTCTGCCACATTAACTCTGTAACTGCACATTAACATATATATTTCATGTTTCTTTTGAATGTTCATATTACTAAAGAAATAAAATAAGCCACTTTTTCTATACATTCTAAATGCATTTAATGTTTTTTAGAATAACAGAAATCCTTAATTAAATCCAAAATTCTAAAAGGAAAAGGAAATGTGTTGAAGAAAGAAACTAAATACATAAAGAAAATTATTCTTCAAAGATATGTGCAGATATTATTATGTAAATTACCCAATTGTTTAGGATTTCAGCCTTTTCTATAATTTCCCATTTCCATTTCCTCATATGATAGAGTTACTGAGCCAGATTCAATTTAAATTGTATAATCTTTGACCACTAGTCTACATTTTTAATTTGAATTTGACTGTTTGTGTTTAATTATGTCACTGTGAGCTGTAATTTATTTTGCTAGCATCAATCAGAACATGCCTTCATGTTCTAAGTTCTTTTTAAATAAGAGGCTTATTTAAACCTTCATCTGATATTGTAGTTATTTTCAGACATAGCGATAATTTGCTTTATGTCTGTCAGACGTTTTGGACTATTTAACTTTTACAAGATCAAGGACTCATAGGTACATTGTTGAGAGGTTGATAACTTAGAAGATAAATCACGCAGAAACTAGTGAGAGCATTGGTTTGCATATTGAGACAAATCTCTAATTCTTAGGAAAGATGCTTAAAGAAAAGGAAATCGATATAAACTAGCTAAAATGTTTGGGAAGGCTTCAAATTAAAATGACGGATAAATATTTTGAGTGTTGTTACAAAACATAAATGTTTTGTAGCTTTTAATGTGTAATTATCCTAAAATCATTTAAGAATCAATGTCATAAATTACATGTATTTTAAACTGTGAAATTTTATTTGATTTTGATTTTAATAGGGCTTTTTAACAAATATTGTTAAAAAATATAATTTAATAGTGCTCATGTAAATCCATAATGACTAAGGTTATCTAATTACCTAATTTAAACCTTCATAACTAATTGCTTACCCTTAAAATTATCTCTATATATTAAAGTGAGTTATTTGCCTTTCATTAATACTCATTGTGGTCACAAGATAAAACACAAAAATGTAAAAATTTACTTACAAAGAATAAGTTGTAAACTTATAAGAAGTACCAAACTTATAAAGAATAAGATGCAAAGAGCATCTAGTGTAACTTAATATAAAACAACTCATCACCTTTGGTGCTTTAAATGGCTTATTGGAACCTTAAAGTATATTAACTGCGTTACAACCCCCTCAAACTCTACATGAAGCTACGATACTAACTACATCAAAGAGAGCCTAACTTTCAACACTTGCCAACTGTGCCTACATCAGGCCTTTCAGGTTTGTTCAGCAAGTCTCTCTAGACAAGTAGTAGCAGTGAAAACATTCTGTCTTTTGATATGAATCATGCTGATTATGTATGATCTTATTTCTCATTTTAACATATGCCGTTTGACATAAAATTTACCTGCTATTTACTAAACCTCTAGACTGACCAAGTATGTGACAAAATGAGACATTAAAAAAATCAACATAAAAGCTAATTGTTAGTAAAACGTAGATGTCACGTATCTTCTTTCAAATATGTCCAAGGATTATAAGTGTAAAATATTTAATGCTACTTGATAAATTGCATACAGTTTATTTTATTCTCAAGCTTATTAATAGTTATGTTAATTAATTCATGTTTAGTAATAATGCATACTACTTAGGGATCTATTTTATTTTTAGGATGGTATTACAAAAGTGAAATTCAGGCATAGATAATATTTTTAATTGAATTTATCATTTCTCATTTGTTCATAGGTCCTTAAATTTTTCATTAATGTTCCTTAAAAGTCCTTAAAATGGCACAGATCATATTTTTAATTGAATTTATCATTTCCCATTTGCTCATAGGTCCTTAAATTTTTCATTAATGGTCCTTAAAAGTCCTTAATTTCCATGTGCAAAAAAGTGTATGGACCCTGTAAATGATTTCAGAGTAATATAGTGTGTGGTTTTGTTCATATTTTTGTTTTATGTTTAAATTAATCTATTACTATTGCAATTTTACAAAAACAGTGTTAAACGCAGAACCAATTACAGCTTGATAAAGAATGTTTTCCCAAAAGAAATATTTTACTGCTGAAACTTTCCACAAAAAGTACTTGTACAGCTCTTTTCGGCATGATACAGCACAAACGGTAGTAACCACTCCAAACTACTAAGAACATTAAATACAAGACAAAATACAAAGCTTCATTGTGTTAACTCGTAAAGCAGTCTCTCAGTGCTCAGATGTAAACTCTGAAATCAAATCTGAACTAAGCTAAGAACTGATGTTCTCTTCTGTTTTATACAGTTTTCTCCCGCTTGCTAAGTAATTTCCAGTACTCTCGATTTCTCAATTGCTGGAAAGCATACACAGTTACAATTATGTATGGCCAGATACAGTTACATATGGATAGGACAAGTTACAATTATACTGGAATTGGACCAAAATGGCACCAAAACTACTGCCAGCTTGGTGATATCTTGGTAGCTATGCAAGATAGCCATTTACCTTGATGTTCAAAGGGTAAGACCCTGTAACCTGACTTTTCTGACGGAGCTTAAGATTTTTGAGACCTGTTATGTTATCTTACATTATACAACAGATACTACAATTTACTTATAATTTCACCAAAAATTACTTATATATATATACAAAATTCATAACAATAAAAATACTTAGAAATATGAATCAAATATATGATGTAAAATAAACACAAATGAAAATGAATCATTATAAGGGTGTGTGAGATATCACACACCCTTATAGTCATTTCTAGTCTAGTCGTTCTCAACCTCCAGTCTCAGAGAAGAGGAATTTCACAGAATGAGGTCAGCCTTTTATTTATTTATTTTAAAACAGTCACAATATTTAACAAAAATTGCATAAAATAATTAATATGAATATGTGACACAATTTATGTCAGAATTAGCACCTATTATTTTCTTCTTTCATGTCAGTTGATATTCTAGTAGGCTGTCGAGTCTTGCGATTGTTTCTTAAAAATGTTTTTACTCAACATTTAAAAGTAAATTACCATAAAGATTTTCCATTTAAGGGGATTGTCACTGAATCTGAAATACGTTGTACACTTAAAAGACCTTCTTGTTATGAAAATATTGTTTAGTGATCTGAAAACTAGTTCACTTTAGTGCTAACAATAGTGATAATCTCTATAATGAGATTAACTTTATTACCTGTAGTTTCTGAACCAGTGGAATTTCAGTTTTGACGGGAGGGGAATTCAGTCAGCCTTTCATTTAACAGTTTAAGTATTTAATTTTAGTTAAAAAGCTACTTTTGTTCAAGTTTTTTTATTTATCAATATTTTCTACATTTTTTCTTATTTAATTTATAAAACAAATTAAAAATAATTTAGTTTAAATAAATGCATATATTTTTGTTGAGTTTTGGAAAGAAAGGGTGATGATGATGGTTTAGCAATGATCATCATCCTACTAGGTGAAAGGGGTAGTCATATGCTTGACACTGGGCAATTTTTATTTATCAATATTTTCTACATTTTTTCTTATTTAATTTATAAAACAAATTAAAAATAATTTAGTGAAAATAAATGCATATATTTTTGTTGAGTTTTGGAAAGAAAGGGTGATGATGGTTTGGCAATGATCATCATCCTACTAGGTGAAAGGGGTAGTCATATGCTTGACACTGGGCAAATATTAACATAACCTTGATAAAATTTCTACACTTTTCTTGTACAAGTTGATATCACATTAAATGTTAATGACTGCCATTAATGAAACATGATAAATGAATTCATGTTAATTAAATGGTGTCTATATTTAATATGGATGAGTTCTAAAATTTCAAATTATGATGTTCATTTGGAAGATAATACTATTTCACACACAGTGTGAAATGTATTTTAACAAAAATGAAGACTTTTGTTTTAAAACAGTTTATATTTACTTTGATAACTGATTTTAAATGATTAATGATTAGAGAAAAGTATACACAATTAAATGTGCCACAAAGCACATTTTTCACAGATACAGAAAAAAGTGACCATTGCAATAAAGGATGCTTATAAATCACAATAAAAGTTGCAGTAACAATAATTGTATATACAGTAACATATATGTATATTCTTTGGAATTTGCAAATAAAATTGTTTCACACAATGGTACATTCAGAGTAACAAATTGCAGTTAATATATCAACAACAGACATTGAAATACAAAATTTATGAGCTGTAGTAAATACTCAAAAAATGAGATTACAGAAATAACAGTGTATAAAAATAATATTAAATAATTTTAAGGCTGATGTATGAAGAAAATGCTCCTAACATCAATCCTCCACCTAAAAATGCTGAGAGGACAACACCAGCCATTTCTTGGAGCAATGGATTGACAGATCTACAAAATAAAATATTTTCATCAAAATTGCAAAATATAAGAAAAATACCAGTTAGTTTCAAAAACAACCTAAAATTATCATATATGTTAAATATCACATAAAATAGAATAATATCAAATGAAACAGAATAATCAGGATTCAGGAGCAAGCTAACACTGTCAGAATTATAAATAACATGATTAAACAGCACCAAGCAACATACAATGTAACACATTGTGATATCTAACATTTTCAAGATCTGCCTCCAACTGTAGCGATTTGAGAACAGTCAGATTTTTATTTTGGGTAGCGTAAATAAAATAAAGGTAAGTGTTAAATTACACAAGTTGAATTTTAAGGTAAGTTCAACTGCTTATCATAACAAAGTAGTTTGCTTAGCAAAATAGTCCGTTTACAATAGGAAACGATAATCACTTGAGTTCAAACAAAGGTCGAAAACGAGGTAGCGGAGAAAAAGTCCGGCTACGCTTCTTTGAGAGTTTTTTCCCCCCGCTCTTGACAGAGCTTAGTAGCGACTCGGGACAAGCCATAAAAAAACACAAGAGAGAAAGGGCTCTCTAAAGCTTACTAGCGACTCTGGACAAGCCGTAAAATACAAGAGAAAGGCTCTCTCTTCTCTACGCAACGATTGCGTATTCTTCAGACTAATCTCTCTAATTATTTTCCACTCACTGTTTTTATGTCCAGGTTTTCTTGGGCGTGTCTTGTGCGTCTGCTGCAGTGATTCGCTAAACGTCTTTTCGGAGCATCTCTCCATTGGTTAACAGGCCGCTGATTTGTTCTCAGATACTGTCTTGACAGCCTGAGAAACTGAGATTTTTCCTTGGGAAAATTCAGAACGTCTTTTTTTGGGAGGTCTATCTAAATTATTTCGAGAAACAGGCAGTTGGTGACAGTCTATCGCATACACAATGGACACTCCACAACCCATAAGAACTTGTATGAAAGTTTTTTTCTCCTTTCGTAAAACAATATGCTTTCCGCACTTTGTTGGGGGGGTCACGTTCAACAACCTCAAGAATTCGTAAAGTGTCATCAGGGGTGGTCATCTGGCGCCCATTTGAAGTCTCCTTTTCCCAGACTTCGTGGGAGTCCGTGGGAAAATAGCTGAGGACGTTACAGCTTATAGATTCCTTCCCCCTTCAGAACTTTTCTCGAGTTGAAACGAAGAGGAAAGTTCTCCTCATCATTCACTAATTTAAAAAAATGACAACGAAATAAACTGTTCTCTCGATAACACTTTCAAACACACCTTTACAGGAACACAGCTACATTGATTAATAACAGTACTAGTAATGTCACTGTTGAAAAGTTCACATATAGTCAATAAGGCATTAACTTTAGAGGCGAGAATTAATGGATATTTAAATCAGAATCACACACATATTATATATATACAACATACACATCACAAATATTCTTAACAAAGGGACAAAATAACTGATGATATATTCTTATATTACACTTTTACTGTATACAAAATACTTATTCAGATAAGAAACTGGCATGATCACCTCTTTACACTCTATGTTTCGCCCGATTCAAAACGACTCAGCCCATAAGCATTTTTATTCAATTTGCCTGGGCGGTAAACTACCTCAAAGTTGCAAGGCTGCAACTGTACTATAAAGCTAAGGAACACAATAAATCCTAAGTAATTCTAAAAGGATCAACACTCAATATACAAATACAAAGTACTACAATAAACAAACAAAACAAAAATTATTGTACTCAAAACAAGTTGTCGGCTCCTATTGGTACCTAATTCAGATAAAATCTCAATTTATTTGGTGCGTTTTCGCACCTATGAGCTTTCATTATGTCTGTGGGTTTCCCACTTATGGCTAAATATTTTGAGTTTCTATCTTGAAAACTACTTTACCAGTGATCTGTTCGACTTCGATGCTCAGTTTCAGATTTCCGAACAGCACATCGTGAATGAAAACGCTCCGGGGGTCTTCCTGCACTTCTTTCTTCCGGGATTCCAGACAAAAATTCGTCCTGACGGACCAGCGTTTTTTTCTTAGAAATGTTTCGCTTTCTTCGTAAATCTAAAGAAGTCCATGCACTTCGTGGGTTAATGACCGCTTTTGTTATCTTGATTTGTCCATTTCTTGACCTGTTCTCCGAACGGTGAGGACACTTCACCCTTTCTTTGCCTCGGACGTTAGCTGACTGGACGGGGAAAATTTCACCCTCCTCCTCGTCATTCATTCGCCCCGCGGGGCGCTCAACTTCTTTGTTCTCTGGACCTTGGCTAGAGGAATTTTCTTTCCTGCTGCAAGCTTTCGTTTGACTGCAAGTCATAACAGCATTGATTTTATGGGGCTGCATTTTATTGTGTTTCTATCAATCGGGCTGTTCGATTTCCCAGCAGATAAATTCTTGATTCAGGTCGGAGCTAATCACTGTGGCTTTAGTAATGACTTTCCCAAAGTCTCCTCTCCCTCTAATTCAATTCAAGCCAAGGTAAACACAAGGAATGTAATCTAGCGGCTGCTTAACCCACGCTGTCTCTCCTAGAAGCATCTGATGTGTTACTTGGTCCCATCCGATCAGATCGATAGTGGAGCCAGTATCTCGGAGTACAGGCATTTCTCGATTATTTACTCTCGCTATACTCATATAGGGAGCTAGCCATGTATCTGGAGATCCTGAAGTGCCTAGTTTGTTTACAGCTTCAGCGGCCTCTTGTCTTTTTAACCGAGGACACTGAGGTCGGAGATGACCATCTGAATTACATTCATAACATCTAGGTATTCTCCGGTTTTCGAAACACTTGACTTCCATTTCTCCGCAGTTTTTTTCTTTCAAACATTTCATGGCGACGTACTCGATCTGAAAATTCTCCTTTTTTCCTTTCTTTAATATTTGAATCCTGTTCGGTATTTTTAGTAAACCTGTTGGTTTTTTTACGGACTTTCGTACTGCTTCATATTCATCTAATTTCTTCACTAGTTCGGCAGAAGATTATACTCGGCCACTCTACACGAAGTGTTCGCGAATTTCGCTGTTTACTCGACGTTTATTTGATCCGTCAACATTAAGTCTCTTAGCGCTCGAAATCTCGTACGTCTACTTCGTTTAACCATTCATCTAGATATTTTTAACTCAAAAGCAAAGTCTTTATATAAACTACCGCACGACGCTGGTGTTGAACAAATTGACGCGGAACGCCTCTGGGTTCAACTTAAACCGCTGCAAAGAATTTTCTTTACGTAGGAGTAATTATCTAGCTCCTGTTCCGGCTCTCGTAGAATAATAGAAACATTGTCCATTGGCAATAGAGCCATCAAATGTGACACCCAGTCTCCTTCCTCTCCTTCGCTTCGCGAGCCTGACGCTCAAACATCGCTAAGTAAAGCGAAATAATCCGATGATTTGGGATTATATCTCTGCATTAAATTTTGCAAATCTCTCATAGATCACGGAATATTATTTTGAGAATTTTCTCTGCCATTATTGGCGTTTGTCAACCTTAGACGTTCTAATTCAATTCTCTCTCCCTTTCCCTTTCAAGTTTACGCTCTTCGGCTTCTTCGAGTCTATGTTGTTCGATTCGCGCTTCGATAATCGACTCTAGTGTTGCCTCGACGATTTTTCGTCATACTGAGGGCTCTGTACAACGAGGTTTTTTGAGATCTTGTATTTTTGCATTTGGGGGAACTTCTAGACCTAATTCTACAGACAGATTTATGAGGTCTTGCTTTCTACCCTTGCAAGATATGACATTTTGCCAGTGACAAATTTTAAAATGATACAATAAAATAAAACTAAAGGTACCAGTTTGTCTACTCTGAAAGTTTTCACACTATCCAAAATACTACAGTAAAACAACATAGCAATGCAATTTATGGTATGTATGACATAAAATACGTACCATTAGCAACATAGGAAAAAAAATTAAGTAAATTAAGCATTTCCTAAATAATCTGTTGCAGCTTAACACTAACCATACTTAATGCAGTATATAAAAAAATTTGCTAATACGTATTGGCAAAGAATATTAGTCACAAAGAGCAATACTTATCGACTCATTTACAAACTGATTGCGTGCTTTCTAAAGGTTGAAAATACTATTATAAAATTCTCTACTCATCAAAAACAAAACATTTACGAGTACCATTTAAACATATAATTTCGATACACAGAAGACAAACTCCATTAAAATGCCTCTTTAAAAAGATAATGCCCATATCAACTACCCATTGCAGACAAAAAAATAACAGCTCTCTTTCCTTTCTTTTCTATTTGAACAGCGATTCAATGACCGAAGAAGGAAACCAATTGAACAATAGTCGACTGGGCGATTCTTCTTTCACTAAACACCAAAAGCACTTTCACTGCACAAGGGTGGTAAACACCAAACGCGAATTCACAACACTTCACTCTTGTCTGGACTTCTATATCTTGTCTTTACACCGAGGGAGAATTTTACTTCACACTCTTTCCCAGGCACTTCCGGAACTAGTCTTTGTAGTAGTTCATTCTTCACGAACGCTTCTCATCGATGATCCCTTTTCAGCTGCTGGTTAAACTCTCCAAACTTTACTGCGAAAGAATTCTTTTCCACTGCTAGAATCGGCTGATTCTGAATGAAGATAGAACCCCGGGACGGTTCTCCAAAACGATCACGTCTTTGTTTGTCTATCGGGTTCTACGATCCCACCGATGCCACCAATTAACACATACCTTCTAGCTGTAGCGATTTGAGAACAGTCAGATTTTTTATTTTGGGTAGCGTAAATAAAATATTTATTTAACTGAAGGGTATGTGCTAAATTACACAAGTTGAATTTTAAGGTAAGTTCAACTGCTTATCATAACAAAGTAGTTTGCTTAGCAAAATAGTCCATTTACAATAGGAAACGATAATCACTTGAGTTCAAACAAGGTCCAAACAGAGGTAGCGGAGAAAAAGTCCAGCTACGCTTCATTGAGAGTTTCTTTTTCCGCTCTTGACAGAGCTTAGTAGCGACTCGGGATGAGTCGCAAAATACAAGAGAAAGGCTCTCTCTTCTCTACGCAATGACTGCGTATTCTTCAGACTAATCTCTCTGATTATTTTCACTCACTGTTTTTATGTCCAGGTTTTCTGGGCGTGTCTTGTGCGTCTGCTGCAGTGATTCGCTAAACGTCTTTTTCGGAGCATCTCTCCATTGGTTAACAGGCACTGATTTGTTCTCAGATACTGTCTTGACAGCCTGAGAAACTGAGATTTTCCTTGGGAAAATTCAGAACGTCTTTTTTGGGAGGTCTATCTAAATTATTTCGAGAAACAGGCAGTTGGCGACAGTTTATCGCATACACACAATGGACACTCCACAACCTGTGAGAACTTGTATGAAAGTTTTCTCCTTTCGTAAAACAATATGCTTTCCGCACTTTGTTGGGGGTCACGTTCGACCTCAAGAATTCGTAAGTGACATCAGGGTGGTCATCTGGTGCCCATTTGTCTCCTTTTCCCAGACTTCGTGGGAGTCCGTGGGAAAATAGCTGAGGACGTTACACAACTCATTTTTGATTATTTCTTTAAGTTGACATCTATACTGAAAGGACAGGTCCATAAACCACAAATCTGTAAAAGTGCTGATTTTAGAAAAAAATGGATATAAAGGTTTCACAGTTTGAGGAATGTTGAGCTATGATGCTTACTTGAATATTTTGTCTATTCTATTGGTTGGAAGTTGGTGGAAACTGCTTTCAATCAATATAATTCTAGGTAAGTTTTGTTTAAATTTCAAATAAGTTAAAGATGTTTTCACTTCAGCATTTTTGCACAGTAAGAGCACAGAAAAGTCTGCTGTAATAAGAGTTTTGTAGTACATTAAAAGGACTACTAAACCTTGGTCTCAATTTCCTGGAATGTTATTTGTCAAAACTGGTGATCAACCAGTGATTATGAGATAAGCATGGTGCAAATGCACCTACAATTGATTATTAAAATAGTGTTTGTACAAGTGGTTAATATGTACTAGTATTCTGGCTAATACAAATTCCAGAACCAGAATTAATTTTTACGAGTTTCAGAGAATATGCAATAATTTATTCTGACACTTGGTGCAGAGTGAAATACTGAAGAAGCTAGAAAACGCATCAAGTACAAATAGGAGGGACTGTAAATTCATTTATCATTTAGGCATAATGCCAGCAATATTAAAACTATCAAAAAATAAATTCCAGAATTGCTTTCAATAGCTTAATGCACTTAAGCAAGTATGTAACGGCATAAAGTGGTGAATTTAAAGAAAGCATAGTTTAAATACTTTTACAGTAAATATATTTTATAAAATATATTCTAGAAATTTCATTAATTATATATGAAATATGTATTCTGAAGATAATGGTGAAAAATAGTTTAAAAAATTTCATTAACTTTTTGTAACACATTTTGATAGCATAACATTAACATTTGATCAGATTCCTTCAGTATATAAATATCTGATGCATATGAGAATATAAAATATATATTGAAGAGGTAATATTGAGTTAGATAATAATTCAATATTTTATAAAAGTAATAAATTTAAATGTGAGGTTATATAGAAGAATTATTTATACTGTAAATTTTCAAAAGGAGTTCTTAAATATTTGAATTCATGAATCCTCTTAAGTAATGCAACCTAATTAACTAAAAAATAAATACATTCTCTAAAATTTTTATGCTTTTAATATTGTCTATTACATAATAAAAATGCCACATCTGTAGCTGTGGATATCTTTAACTATAATTTTGATGCTGGCTACATATACTATAGCTTTTTTAAAAAGAGGGGGGGAAAGGAGGGATCTGTAAAGAAAGCCATTCTACTTACTTAATTCCCATTACCATTGCTACTGCAATGAAGTATCCATTTGTAAATCCTAATAATGTTACAAATGAAATGTAATAAATATCACTGTCAAATATAACAGGAAGATGATACCGTGGTTGAAGATTACACAGCATAAATAAAGGAACGAAGATCACTCGTGCAGAACAAAGTGCAAGCAAATGAATTCGCCAAGATGGAGGCTAGGAAGAGAGAGAATTACACAAAAATCAAATGCAATACATAATTTTGTACAATAATTATAATAATCTTGCAATAATACATATATATATATAGTATTTTTATTTTTCATCAATTCTATCAATCGTGCCAGACTTTCGCTCGTTCTTATGGTAGCAGAATTTAAAAAACTGGAGATGAATTATTTATATCATTACTAACGCATTCTTTGGAAAAAGAAATAGAAAACTTCTGAGTTTCTTGACGCAAAAGAAAATTTGTGAATCCTTTTTAATGTGCCATTCAAAGTTCATTGAAATTGATTTATGCATCAGACATTAACATTTAACACATCAGACATTTATGCATCAGACCATTAAAATTGATTTATGCACCAGACATGAACCTAAAAGGAAATCATACATCCATTCAGAATTTAGGGAGGAAAAAAAAATTCTGCAAAACTACAATTTGGCATATTCTATAACCATCTCAGGCTCACACATAAGCAATTATCTAGATGCACAATTCAACGGAATATTATGTTTAGCTCACCAGATATTGTCTCACTGGCGTGAGAACATGCCATTATATCTAACAGATACTTGGAACCACAAGTGCTTAAAGCTGCAACAGTAATTTGCACTGAGATTCTCTATCTATATCCTTCTTCGTCACACATTACGATGGCTCGATGGGATTTCTCCATTTGTAACGTAAATACGCAACTAACTTGTTTTCTAGAAGCTTTTTATGAAGCAACCCTTTCTCCTAAGCAGATAGTCATTACTTTGCCAAAATTAAACAATCCAATCCCACACATGTTTAAGGAAAATATCACGTGATCAGGTTAGCCAATTCATCAGCAATTTAAAATAAGCATAAATGATATGTAGGCCATGTTCCAAATATGCTCAATTAGGAAACGTTTAGATGACCAGATTATCATTGAAGGATATTAGCATAATGCTGGCAGCACAATTCATATTAAAGAGAGCTCTACTATATATAATCAGGTATTGAACTCTTGGAAAATGTCCTGTGACTACAATAATAAGAGTAGTAATAAATATATTATAGAATTCACTGACAAACATACTACTGTATAAGTAATACCATGTTTAAGTGATACCAACCATATCTGGTTATCAAATAAAGTGCTTCCTAATGATACCAGATGTAAAAGTCATATTACAAGTTCATAGCAAAAGCAAAATCCTTCCAGTGGCTGGCTTATCAAACATATATGTATTGGTTGTCAGCACATAATGCTAATCACAATTCATCACTGAACATTCACAGTTTCCCTACACAATATCTCTCATTAAATGTGCTAAAACCAATGTACTGAAGCAAATGCTGCAGACCCTAACAGCCTTGATTGTAGTATTAATATTTGTCAGTCTGAACATATTACTTTCAAAAATAACAAATATTAATTTTCATACATATAACAGACCAACTGAGACCTTATGATTATCTCCACCACTAAAAAGTCACAAATAAGTATATTGGTGAGGCAATGCACTATGTCACCAAAAAAGTATTTATGTGTGAACCTACAGTGTCAGCAAAAGTATTTATGTGGCAACCCAAGTATGTGCATACGTGTGGATATGCATTTTTGAAATTCATGTCTTTTTCTGATTTAATATTTCTTTTTGGACTAAGTACATTTCTTTTTATTATAACAAATCATAATGGGACTATAGATTTTGTCAGCTAATGAAAGAATAAAGTGTTGTATTTTTTCAGAAATATGACATTCGCATTATATGATGTAGTACTCCTTAAAAGATTGAATTTTATGAAAATGCAAATGAAAAATTGCAAGCAAACTGTTAGAACACAGAAAATTGCTTTGAAGATAATTGGATGTCATATGGCTGTTTGCTTTTTTTATTTATTCTTAAACAAAAGTATATATGCCCATGAAATTTTGTGAAGAAGAACTGGAATTACTCCCAAGCACAACTACAGATGGGTGTAATTACCTCTGATAAGTACGCATGTCTTTTATGGAGTTGCACTGGTTAATTAGGTTATACTGGATGAATAGCCGAAATAGACGTAAAGTTGCCCAAACAATTGTTTTTCTCCAAACTGACCAAAGTGTTCGGGACTTTTGGTAAAGATACAGATAGTCAGAAAACCTTGTGGAATTATTGAAAAATCGAATATACCAAAGCATAGACGTAAAACTTAAATTACACTAAATTTAAAACAAAATGCACAAAATTTTAAAGAATTAAAACATAAAAAAATAAAGTAACTTACCATAGGCAACCACCCACCAACAGATCGGCCACAAAAATCACTCACATTGAATAACAAAAAACATGTTAGTGGGAGATAAAGTTTACCTGAAATTAAAATTATAAAAAATTTTTTCATTCTACTTTAATATTTTTGACATATTTGCAATAATTATTTAACTATTGCATTTTTCAGCAAATTTGTATTTTAATGGCAGATCACCTCAAGTGTTCCAAATTTTCTCCATGAAATTCTTCCAGAACAGACAGAATTAAAGCATTTTCATTTGAATATAATACTAACAGTAATTACAGTTACTAACAATGGCATTTATATTGAGACACCACAGAAAACAATTATTATCTGTCATTGTAATCGAAGTCACTGTTCTGTGTTTAGGAGTGAATTGACAGCAATCAATTTGGGGTTCAAGGGTATACTAACAAAAAAGAATTTTGGTGATCTATGGATTTTATCTGATAGCCATAGCTCACTACAACATCGTGATAACTGGATTCCTGTAGGCAAAAAAAAATCAGTAATTTTATCCTACAAAAATTACAGCTAATTTCAAGGCACCACAATATCCATTTACTGTGGATTCCCTCTTATGTGGATCTTCACGGCAATGAAATGGTGGAAAAATTAGTATAGGAGGGCTGCGGTCTTTTAACTTCTTCCTCTTCTACTCTCACCTACCTGCAACTATACTCTCTGAAAAAAATCACAAATTATGGCTTAATGGCTTGTGCCCCCCACCCATCACCTGTACTCAGCTAGCAAGCCTGGTTGGGTTCTAAACCTTTGAGTGTGACAGGAGCTCCTAGAATGAGCCCTCACGTATTGCCTGATGTCCTGTTATCTGTCTCTCTTTCAAGGAAGGCATGAATATCTTTTCCACCTGCACCAAATGCTGAGAACATCAGGCTTCTTCCGAATATATTTTGGACTGTTTGGACCACCCTAGGGAGGATATTTATTTCAGTCCCCTCCTTCTGTTTGACTTTCTTAGAGTCAACGGTCCTTTGGACTCTTGTCTGACTTTGTCAGAATCTGGAGAAAAAGAACAAAAACAACACTAAGCACACACACAGTAACATAGTAAGCTATCTCTCATTGCTACTTGAGCAAATCTTGACATTAAAGAAGTGAATTATTAGGAATTTTCATTATTTTTATTTATAAAAAACTAGCTATTACCCAGTATGCATTGCAATGTTACTTAAAGGAAAGAAAGTGCTTATATTTTAATTCTGTTATGGATTTTTTTTATTTGTGCATATTTTGCATGTAGCTGGCTTGTGTTACTTGATATCAAGGCTGATAATGGTTCGGGTGGTGAATTTAATTCTGGTAATTTCACTTTTTCACCCATGCAGTGCATTCCTGGTGCTTCATTCTTAAAATTGAGGGCTCTGCAATAAATGCATAATTTATCCATCTTTTCAAAAATCAGATTTGAATGATGACTGTAATCATAATTAGCATCATAATGGAATGCATAAAGATTTAAATCAGCCGGCAGATTGATAATGGAATGCATAAAGATTTAAAGCCGGTTTTGCTTGTCTGTTTCAGATGAACAGGCTTGAATGGTGCATACACAAATTTTTTCTAGTCTTGCTTCCTGGTGCTCATCTGTTTCAGATGAACACAGGGTTCATAGCCACATTTTAGTTAAAAAAAAAGCACCTATAAGCACTTTTCAAGCACATTTTAAGAAAAAAAAAAAAAAATAAGCACCTATCTAATTACATTATACACAACTGCATAACCTTAAACATTAGACTTCTAATTTAAAATATGAGAAATGCAATATTTATTAAGAGAGAATAAGCATTACCTCAACCATGGAAAATAATTACTCTTTTTAAAATTTTAAATAACAGTTCAATTTACAGAACTAGTTTACAAATGAGAGAAAAAAACAAAAAAATAATGCAGAACTAAACTATATTACGAGGTTTAATGATGAAATTTCAGTTCAAAATAGAGGAAATAAATAATAAAGAGGAACATTTCTGAAATCAGAAGACAGAAATTTGCTTCATGCAGTCATCCTTTAACAGTAAAAGCTTAACTACCCACATACTTGAAAATTGGCGAATATTCGGACAGTCCAGTGTAACTTGCAAAAGAGGAGCGGAAGGGGAGATAGACTGTAGCCGTTCTTTAGATTTTTCCACTAAATAAATGCTTTTGACATTTCGATATGTGCATCATATAAAAACAAACCAACGGAACAGAAGAATATTCTGCTTTACAAGCACAGTAAAACTCTTTTAAGTGTTCATAAACAAATCTCGGACCGAACATCAAAATTAATTATCTCTGCAAAATATCGCAAACATTATTGCGCAATACGTGCGCTGTAATTCTTTCCTACATGATATTATGCAATCGGATTCAAACAGCTGCCGGTATTGGGAGAATAAAGAACTAAATAAAGGAAAAGAAAGAGACTTACCAATCTTTCAATCAGACTTTCAATATTCGAGATTTTTCGGAGAAAGAGGAGAACCTCCCAACCTTTGTACTGTATAATGTATTGGCCAAAAAAATAAAATTATTTTGACTATTTGATTACTTTCCCTTTACTTAAGCCATTCCGAATATTATTCCTTACAAAGCTAATCTGCGTTAAAACACAACCATTTTTGGAAGTTTACTAAACTTCAGCAGTTATTGCAACTATGTTATTATAAACATTCATACATATACTCATAATATAAGCATAACGATCATAATAAACATGAATATGAACTGACAAAGCGGAACGAGAATGCAAATTATTAAGATCTTGATAGAAATTCAAATGTGTGTAGTATTTGTGTGGGAGGAAAAGAATACCGAATGTACCGAAATTTTCTACTGCTCTCGCAATACTTTGACCAACAGAATGACGGGCACCTGTCTGTACTCTCCGCGCACACCAAAGGTTATGTTTAATGCAGAGAAAGAGCAAAAAGCTATTTTCCGGGAGTATGAGTCACCATTTGACATTCCATATTAAGAAAAGTTGTTTATTTAGTTTCGGTTTTGGTACGGGGAAAAATTGCGCGTTCATTGTAAAAAAAAGCACTAAAAGCAAAAAATAAGCACCAAAAACAAAAAAATAAGGGCTTTAAAGAAAATGTAAGCACCTATAAGGGCCTTTATATTTTATTTTCAAATATAAGGACTTATAAGCACTTATAAAAACCGCTACTAACCCTGTGAACAGGCTTGAGCAATGTGCACTCAAATGGTTCCAGTCTTGCTTCCTATTGCTCATTTGTTTCTGAAGATCATTAATGCCTTTTTCTTTAGTGCTTGAGGTGCAGATCAAGCAATCGACTTCCCTTTTGGCGGCATAATTGATTTCACAGCGAAAGTAATGCATTCTAAAGACTATTACAAATTCACTTTCAAAAAGAAAAAAAAAAAAAAAAAAAAATGTGTGTGATGCTATAACACATATGTGAATCACCTGTTGGCAAATATCTGTGGTGCCCCCTACTTGTACCTATGTCTATAACACTTATGTCAATGTGTGCATGTTAACGCATGAAAAATTAAATATTTTATGCTTTGCTAAATGACTTGGCTATTTAAGAAAAACACATTTTTCTTAAATAGTTAAGTCAGTTTATTAAATTCAAGACAAAACACTATAACTGCATTTTCCAGAGTGGCAACACAATTTTTATATCGTCGAGTTTTTCTCGTTACATATACAGTATAAAGTCCGAAATCCGGACTGGTCAGGACTTTGGCATTTCCAGATTTGGGATTTTTCCGGATAATAGGTCCTCAATTTAAATCTGGTAAGATGGCATGCAGAAATTATACAATTAAAAATATGAAATGGTAATTTATGAAATAAAGAACAATCATGATCTAAAGAATATCAAAATTTACAAAAAAGGCTTAATATTTATTTGTTTGCTTTACTAAACATTTCTTTCAATGTAAGTTGTTTAAATTGCTTCCACAAGAAATTCAAAAAGTTCCTTTTTCTTTTGTCATACACAGTTGATTTTCCAATGCCATACTTCTTGCATATGCCTTTATCCATTTTTTGCAGCAATTCCACTTTTTGTTTAATGGACATTGAAACATGGCTTTGCTTTGTAGATCCTTTGGCAACTCCACAATAGGAAACTCTTTTTCGACATAATCGAGAGTTCAAGCTTAGTTTCTATAAAATTGCCGTAATAACAGTCTGCAAAAAATAATAAGCTGGATCAAATTAGAAGATCAGGAGCAGCACAGTCTGCTACATTAATTGAAATGCCTTAGAATCAGTAAAGATAATTTTAGCCTAACTTAATAGTGTCCATTATACATTATTGGCTGTGTATCACAAGATTGACGATGAAAGCCAAGTTGTTTCACTAAATTTTGTCTTGCTCCTATTGTGTACTGAATTAAGCCTGAATTGTATTAGTTTAGTTATTTACTATACCTATGTTTATTTCTTGCACATGCTTCAAACTAATCCAAGTCGTGAATAAATAATCTCCCACATATACTTATACTTAAGGCTTTATCTAAGGCCGGCGCTCAATACCACCTAGTTCAGTCTCTATGGGTCCTAAATTCTGCTACAAAGCGCTTTCCTAAGTTCTAAATTTTCACCGCACCTAAACTTTGGATCCCAGTGCTTTCCCTAAATCATAAATACTTCTCATCCCTTAATTTTTCCATTCGGTACTTTCCCAAATTCCAAAAATTTCATCTTTCCTAAATTCTGCTGTCCGATGGCGACATACTCTGCCACCACTTCTGGGTTTATGGTGAATAACATATCAGTTATTCTTAATTAATATAGCATTAAATGTAATCTTTTGGCCTATGAGTTTCATTAACAAAATCTATTTTTAGCATATGAAAAGAAATTTTTGTTGAATTTTTCTTTGTCAACATTTCTTAGAGCATTTAAAAATCTATAATCATCGCCAAGTGTAATGTTAGCATAAAAGGTTGCCACACTCTTGTTATTCAATTACTAAGTTTAGACATCACAGCATGAGTTATTATTGAAGCTGTCATGTATTGATAAACATGCAGTGATGAAAGTAAAATATAATAAATAATGACTCGCCAGGTCAGCGTCAGGGATATAAAATAAATGAATGTTTCAGTTTGAGATATATGGCAAACAGATAGTCAGCTATGGAGCCAAATTATTAAACTCACAAATTTATGCTTACATGATTGTTTTTCCAAAATGAGGTATTTTATTTAGTCCCTAAGTGAAATTAAGAACCGGAATTTTTAAGTGAAAATCTCCACATGTTTTATTATGAAAGAAAAATCATATGTGCATGCATAAATCATTAATAATAAAAATTGTGGCTTTGAGGTCCAGATTTTAGATTATTCCAGATAATGGACGTCCAGAATTCGGACTTTGTATATCCTTCGCTTTGCAGAGTGGCAATGCAAAGTTTTTAAATCACTGAGTTTTTTAATCAAAAGTTTGTTAAATTAGCGTAAAATATATGTACATAAAGAGTGCGGACCCCATGGGCTGATTCTTGAGAAATCTTAAATAGAGTGATCTTCCTCTTGTTTTGAAGGTTGAATAGGGCAAGTTTCATAAAGATTCAGAATTAAACTGTAAACTTGTATAAAAGATAAACAAGAAACAAACATACATTCACTTATATATGCACAAATAAGCAGAAATACTATATAATAATATTACTGGTACCTTCCCATGTGCTATTCCCTCTAATTATCCTGCTCTGAAAACTGATGATATATTTTCACTTTATAAAACTGAAATTAATCTTATATTTTGAATTTATTAGAACACTGAAAATACTGATTTTTTTAAGAAGGCTACGGCGGTGTTTGAATTTTCCATGATGTGACTACTTCTGTAAATATTTAAAGTTCAAATAAATTTTATGCCATCTAATGTCAAATAAAATATTTAATAATTATGGTCAGTATGTTAAATTACTATTTAATAATACAACTGAGACATTAATTATTTCTAATCTACTTTCATTAGCTGAAACCAAAGCATTCATGGCATCTTCAATGAGTTATATGGTCAGTACCCCAAACTGCAGAACATGTTGATTTCTCATCAAATCATTGCCACTTCATTTGATTTTTAAATTCTTAATACAGTGTGCATTTTGGGAGGGGGTAACCATATTCTTTTATGAACACTCGAAATAGTCCCAATGTACACTATTACTTAATATGAATATGACAAACTATTTTCACAGAAGCTAAAAAACAATTTTATTTCCATTTATTATTTATAGTATTATAGCAAATTTTTTATATGACCAAAATATGCTTCATATCCTCTATATCTGTTTTATGATAACAAAAGAAAAATTAATAAATTAGCAAATAAATAGCTTACATATTAAATAATACTGTTGTTGTAAAGTTTGAAATTAAGATACAGTCAAATTCACAATGAACTATAAAAGTATATTAACTATTTAAACAAGTTCAAACACTAATGAAATTTAAAGGGAGGGACCTTAGACTAGTGAAGAATTTTACTAAAAGTTTCTTAATTCCGAAAAACAATCGGACATAGCTCTTTCTTCCTCAGTGGGGAGGAGAGAATTTTTTAAATCCCTCCTTAGAAAAAGGACTTAGCAAAAAAACATCCTGACGATCTTTGCCAAGCTGCAGTTGGTATTTTACTTAATTTTTAAATTCATTTGGGTTAGAATTTTTCTTTTTATGTGTTAAAAATATACTTTAAATACTAAAATATGCTATAAGAATGCTCTATTTTCTCTCCAGAAAGTTTATTTTTAAATGCATGTAAAAAAAAATTATTCTTATATTTCACATAAAAGAATTTTTTTATTTACATTCAAAATTAAATGTTCAGATTACAGGCATTCACAGTTTATCTCTGTCACATCTGTTTCTCTCAAATATCTGAAACACCCATGTATACGAATTTTTGTTGGAATGCATTTCCTTTCCCTATGCCAAAGAGAATACTACATTGATAATAACCTACTTATCTCTTAGAGATTTTGGTGTGGTTTCACCCACTTTGTGCAGTTTCTCCTTAGGACAGGACAGCAACTGCAAGCATCAATAGCTAAATGATGATGTTAAACAAAGAAGAGGAAAAGTGCATTCAAATAAGAGACCTACTCTCAGTAGTTTCAAAAGGATGACAGGGATATCACTTAACAACTCCCGAAACCTACAAGCCATGCACTAATGTGTTGAGGTAAAGCACCAGGTAGAAAATGGACGCAAGCATACAGACGAGTTGCCGATGTCTGAATGCGCAAGCATTTTGGGCGACTTTGCTGTGAAACAGTTAAGCACGGTAGATTACTGAAATTTTTCCTATTCTAGGTACTATATCATAATTTCAAATCGTATGAATAGAAGGACCACTTATACTTGCATACTTCACTCATTTCATTTCACAGGCATTTTGAAATTAGGAATATAAGGAAAGAATTGAAAAAGCTTCCCTTCAAATTATATGCAGAAATTTTTGGCCAAAAAAATTACAAAACTTACCATTCCATAAACCTTCTTGAGAATTAGGCACTGATAAAACAGCTAAACCAGGGAAAATACCTATTGTAACCCAAAAATCAAGAAGGATGGACAATGCATAAGGCCATACCTTAAAAAAATTTAAAAAAAGGTCATTATTTGGGATATTAATGTTACCATTAAAGTATACAATGCAGTTATTTCATAGAATACCTACTTATTCCATGAAATAACTGATCGTGTCCGTTAAAGTGTGTAATATGTTAATAATTTGACACATTAACTAGTTATTCTATGAAATAACTAGATATTCTATAAATTAACTAATGAGAGATGGTTAAAGTGTAAAATAAACAATTTATCTAAAATGAAATAACTAGGTATGTATTCTATAAATAAACTAATGATAGACAATTAAAATGAAAAAAAAGCAATTTATCTAATTCATGCAGAGTATAAATGGTATTTATGGAAACGTACCATAAAATCATTTGTTACAACAAGGATTACTAAAATGACACTTGGAATTACAAAGAACATTATATCTAAAACAAAAACATTTTTTGTTGACACACTGGGTTTTACACAAACATTTTTCAAATCACTGACCAGTACCTAAACTTTGAGCTGTAGCAACTGACCAGAGCGATATTTCTACATCCGGTACTTCTTCGATTTTAATTAATTTTTGTTCGCAGACACTGAACTGGGATCGGGAATATAATTGTTTTATGCAGATGTTTCTTGTGCCCAATTGGAAAAATCCTTCTTTGGTTATTTTTATGATGATAGCTAAAATAGACTTGGCATCACCTTTTCCTCAGTCAACTTCAGGCACCGAGATATGGACCGTAAACCCCACAGAGGCTTCACAATGAGATTTATTCAACATTAATTTCATCTTTTTCGCTTGAATTTCTAAACATTTTTTAGACTTTTCTCTTTCTCTTTGAACATTAAGTTCATTAAAACACAATTTGCAGATTTTCTGCTCAACTTCATCTTCTGAAACATAATCTTCCAAACATGATATATATACAGGCTCCATACATTTGAAGCAAACTATATCTTCACTGCATTCTTTTTAACAGACAACACATACTTTTGTAACGGGATTATTTAATATTGTTTGTTCAACTACTTTTTCATTATCAGATCGAGAAGAAACATTCATTGCAGTCAAAGTATTTTGTAACTGATCTTCGTCGACCAACGAATTAAGTGCTTCCTTCAGAATGGCAGTTGTTGACAGTCCAACTCTAGCTGCACAACCAAACATAGCCTCGTAGGGGGACCTTTTAATACAAGAATGGAACGCTCTGTTCTTCATAAACTGGATAAATTTTAACCCGTTACTCCACGAAGTTGACTGGTTGTATTGCATCCAAGTCGTCAACATATTTTCTATGTCCTGATTGGCTCTCTCAACACTGCCTTGGCTTTGGCTATGTCTTGGTTTGCCATGCACGATCTTAAGCTCTGGCCAAGTTACTTTTGAGACATCAATAAGTTTGTTACAAAATTCTCTTTCATTGTCCGACTGCAATATACATGGGCTCCAAACAACAGGAATATATCAAGCAACTGTCCTGCAACTTCTTCTGCTCTCTTTGTTTGAAGAGGTCTTAAAACCAAAAATTTTGTAAGGTGATCTTGATAAACTAAAATAAATTTATAGTTTCCATCAGGTTGTGATTGAAAATCTATGAGGTCAACCTGACATCTTGAATTCATATGTGAAAAAATCATGGGCTTAATAACTACACCTTTTCTGTCCGCTTTGCGTTTTTGTTGACAAGATTCACAAAAATTCAAGGATATCTTAATATCATTTTGCGTAATATTTTTGTAACGACGATTAACGAGCAAGGAACTGTTCTTTTATCATTCGGTCTCTACCACCGTGCCTAATAGATAAAAGAGTTTCATACAAAATGTCAAACAAAGAATCACTTGAGCAATAAAACATTACATCTGGTGTTGCATTTGTTACTGGGACTATTAATTTTTCTACTCCTTGAACTTCAAGGACATCGTAATGTTGAAGTAACCAATAATCACGTGGCACTTTCTTATCTGATGTTTTAGATTTCTTTACATCAGCTATCAAACTTAATAATTTTTCACGGGTGAGCAAAGAACTGTTCTCTTTCACATCACGCTTATTTAGTAAAGATTCAAACTTTTCTTTCATTGCAGCTTTTTTTTTGTTATCACTTAAAGAATTCATTGTTCAAGGCAATTTAAGGTCTTAAAAATAATTGCACTTTAACGTAAGCAAACTAAATTAACGTAATAACAAATGACTAAATTATAAAACTTAAAAAAATTAATGTATCTCAATACCTGATACATGGAAACAGTATTTGACGAACAGCAGCCTTCACTGTACGTGCAAGCAATCAATTAACCGGAATGAACTGGCGCCAACACGCTAAACAAGTTCTCTCCCTATGGCCTGGAACAGTTCATAAATGCAGTAGGGGTGGAAGGTAAATGTATTTGTCGTTGACATTTTGAGAGCATGGTGAAAAAGTATTCTCGTTGTTTTATGCTTTGGTATTTTTGACATCCTTCAAAAATTATTTTTATTTGAATTCGAAATTAACTTTTTTTCCCCGCTACTTTCCATATTGTTAAACGAAACGCAAATGTACCTTATACTAAAAAACAAGATATATGATATAGATTATTTTACACTTTAACGGGCTGCAGATCGTTATTCTATGAAATAACTAGTTAAACCATGAAATACAAGAGAGTTTTACACTTTAACGGACATGATCAGTTATTTCATGGAATAACTAGATATTTTATAAAATAACGGATTTCATATTTTAACGGTAACATTAACATATTTCAATTTTATATTTAATACTTATGCATGTGTATACACAATAAGAGACAGACCGAGGAGAAAGTTATGAAATTTAACACTTTCTTCACAAAACAGCAAAAATAAATACTGTAGAGTAATATAAGGGGTACACTACAGAGTAAAATAACTATCCCAAAGAATAAAAACATAGCAAAACACACAAAGAAAATCATAAAATAAAAACAAAATAAAAACCACACTGATGTGTCACATTCTTTTTCCATGACATTTTCATTACACAGGGTTGGTGCTTGGAAAAATGAAGTTACAGTTTTGTTAATGAGCAAACAATGAGCAAGTCAGTACTGCCACAAGTAAATTCAGTTACATAATTTATAAAAAGTACATTGTTAATGAGTTGAACAACCCCAAAAAGAGCATAAGTGAAGTTTAGCATTTGGCTTAAATCCATCCGTAAAAGTAAAAAGAAATAGAAAAATGGAACTGCATAATGACTACCAGAAAGTTAATTAAATGTTGGAAATAATGCAAACTAGATTTAGCGTTTTTCTAAAAATTCAATTGCTATGTCTAATGGAAGCATGAAAGCACCTAGAATGATAAAACAATTTTGTAGAATATAAATATTAGAAAAATTAACATGAAAAAATATATGTCAATAGACATTAGAAACCATGAAAATGGTGCTAAACAAGAATACATAATTTGTCTAGGTAACTGTTATTAGTATGTAATTTATCTGGCTTCATTGAATAGTGCTAACTATCAACCATATATTCATCAGTACATACAGGAATTTAGTTTTATAATTTCTTTTTTAAATCTAAATTTCCAACAGTGTAAGGAATTTAAAATTTCTTTCATATATCTATAAACAAACAAGCAAAATAATTTTGAAATGGTTAACTAATGAATAAGCTCGTTTAAATTAACAACTTCCTAAAGTAAAATATCGAATTTTAACAAAAGTTTCCCGCCAATGCAAATATTGTCTGCGCAAACAGTTTGCATTGGCATGTTTAATCATACTTTGTCAAACAATTTTTGGAATTTGAAAGAAAGAGATTTGCTTTAGAACACTGTGCTGTGAAATTTGTAAAAAAATATCTTATTAATTACAAGATACCAATTCAGAAGTAAAAAAACAAAAATCAGCGTTATATTTTCAAAATTTTCACAGGACTAGTTTCAATGGTTTTACCGAACCATCATCCTCATCTGCAAAACCGCAATGACTTCTGAATTGGTATTTGTTCGGTGTGTTATTGTGTCTTAATTACAAGATGTTTGAAATGGAACTATCACACTACCAGGTTAGAACCATCATTTACTTTCAGTTCTGTTGCAAAAAGTCAGCTACAGAAGGTCACCAAATAATGTGTAGAGCTTTACGTACTAATGCTGTATCATATGACATTGTGAAGATTTGGTACCGAAAGTTCAAAAACAAGGACTATCACATTCAAGAAGCAGAGTGCTGTGGCCGCCCTACTGATGTTGAGGTCCACCTGCGAGAACTTGTGGAAAAAGATCAGTATGCAAACACTTGAGAGGACATAACGTTAAGGACATAAACGTTAGTGCCATGCTCATTAGTAGCATTATGCATTGCATAAACTTGACCCAGCAATTGACCTATGAAGTTCAATCACTAGGTGCCACATGAGCTCAAGGAGATAAGGACAGGCTCGTTTGGACCAGCACTAATCTGCTCAAACATCAAAGCAAAGACAAAACTCTGTACCAGAATGCCACTTTTGGTGAAAAAGAGATTTACTTCAACAACACAGGCTGAAAACGGGATTAGGTCTGCACCCGGTGAACCCATCTACAGAGTCACAATGTACAATTTGAATAACAAAAAAAATCATGCTTTGTATCTGGTGGGATTACCATGGTATTATACACAAAGAGTATCTGTATAGGTAAAACCCTCGACAGTAAGGAGTACAGCGAGATGTTAATCTTTGTTGATGTAGCTATCAAGGAAATGTCAAACTGAGTACTGGCACAAAAAGGTTATGTTCCATCAAGATAATGCAACACCACGTATGTCTGCATTTGTTGGCTGGACTCTGTATGGACTCGAATGGGATCTTTTGCCACACCCACTATATAGCCCACACATTGCACTTTTGGACTTTTACCTTTTTTCACACCTGCAGCTACATCTTGCTAGTGCTATCTTCTATTAATCTGTTTTTGGACTCATGGCCACCAAGTTTCTGGGCCAAAGGCTTTGAAAAACTACTAAAATGTTGGGAGAAAATCATAGCTTTCATGTTTTTTTTTTTTTCCTTAAGAATGCGTTTTGGTGGGAAACTTCATCACAACCAGATAAGATTATGTGAGTACATTAATCTAAAATGATAATCTGAATTTCAAGCAAATCAAATAATAATTTACTTAATACTAATAACTAAAATTTTAACAATTTTAGAAATTTAATTTTAGTTACATAGAGTTTATATTAAATCATATATAATAACTAACCAGCTTTGTAACGAGGAAAACTGATAATTTAGGTTTCACTTCAGGTTCAGATACATCTTTGAGTACTGTAGTATCTGCAAGATACAACTGCATTAGTTTGTAACAAAAATATACTGCTTATTAAAGAACATTAATTTACAATAAATCCTAGTACTAAAATAAAAAGGAAATCACATATCATATACAAGAAACTGCATCTACCTTTGAGAGTGAACACATGAAATTTGAAGAATTCCTATGGAAAGAAAAAGATTGTCAAAAGAAACACCAAAAAATTTGATATTTAATTTTTTTCAAAATTTCTAACAGAATTTTTTATGGAAATAATATCTTCAGTTACTTAAGTTTAATATAATATCTTCATTTCCTTAAGTCAGTTTAAAATACCTTATTAAATGCACTTATGCATTATTATAATAGACATGTTCTGTTCCAGAGAAATATATGAACAATGCCCGCAGTTTATTAAACTCACTAAAAACGTATAAACTCAGCCACTCATAACATTTAAATTTCTCACAACCAAAATAAATACATACTAATCAATAGAAAAACCATCATTCATTAAACTAATATCTGTTGCTTAGAAAACTCAGATTAGCAAAAGACTGATGTTTCAATGCCAGAATATCCTGTTTGTACCTATCAAAGCTTTTTATAGTTCATCCATTTAGTGTGCTGTAGACTGTGGCTTTATCATTCAAGTATGTACTACTTACAAGTTTGACAAAAAGTTTCCTATTCCCTGGTCTTTATGACCTGGTCTTTATACACCTGTGAGGCAATATGTTCAGAGTTCTTTTATCTGCACTGGACTTCAAAGCGGCAGAACTTCCTTACCTTAAAGTACACAAAACTATCCTCTAGAAGCAATACAAATGAGTAAGGATTCATTCTGGAATATCAGCTAAATAGGATGTAGAAGTGTCACTTCTGTAGCCATCTTTTCAGGCTTCCCCATTTAAAATCTTTGGATCATTCAAATCTTTTTTGATACACACATTATGTTCAAGAAGAGTTATCAGAAAAGCTTTTAAAATGATTCTTATCATTATCATACATTTACAGTTTTTAAATGGAGAGAAACTGATAACTGTAAGCTTTGACACCACCAAGGATGACCACTTCTTGACTTTCTTGGAAAAGTCTTTCAGTGATGGTTTTCAAGGAAAAAAAAGTAACTGTTAAGTTAAAAAAAGGGAAGAAAGAACTAGTCATGCTTGTAATCATGACTAAGCACTCATGGCAGATCAACTAAACAGACAAATAGCAATCTTTCTGCTGGGTGGAAATGCAAGTTTTGAAATTTGAATAAATCACTAAAAGAAAGATTTTCAAAAATTTGTTGTGTACTTAATTTGGAACATACTGAAAATGTGAAGTGAAAAGAGGCCTATAAGAAACGGATAAATTATTCAAAGATTTTGATGTTCTTGGCAACTGCAGCCAAAGAAAAGCTACATTTAATTCTGAATTAACCATACAGCATTGTGCACTTTACTTAAAGAAGTGATTATAATTAATGAAGAAGTAATAAAAAATAGAAATGTCTCAAAGAAGTGCAAAAAAGATACAAAAAATCGAGTGATGTTTAAACTACTTTTCTAGAAAGGTTTCAAGCTATAACGTTAAAAAGCTATAAAGTTTCAATTTTTAGAGGTTTTTCCATTGATTCGCTAAATTTTATGTTGAATTTTGTATCATTTGACAGATAGATGCATTTTAGTTTATTATTATGCCTTGAATCATATTTTTAATAAATGTTTATTTCATCTTGTTAAATGGTGCCTTATTGAACCACGAAGCCATTATAGTGAAACTAGCTCAGATAAACAAAACTAGCTCGTATCACAGCTTATTCCGAGGGTATTTCAAAGCGAAGTTAGCCCCCTTTCTGTGAAACATATGCAAACACTTCTTTTTTCAGTTCACACTCCTCTTAAATCTCTCCTGCGAGGCTGGTGTTTTCCGTATTCCGAGAAAGGATATCTTTTCGTGCTAAGCAATTTTTGTTTCATATTAGGAGAAACAAAATGCATAAAAATACATAGTAGTTTATCGGGACCGTTGTATTATTTCGTGTTAACTGATATTTCGTCTTAAGTGTTTTCGCGTTAAACGTATTTCACTGTAACATTATAAAAAATTAAATGAATTTCAAAATTATGTAAATAGTTTAATTTTAGCATTAATTTTTAATTATAATTTTAAAATTAATTATTGTATTAGTTGCTATTTATTATTATATGTAAAAATTGTAAAACAGTACTTAACAGTTTGGTGTTTTTAGTAGCATAAACTAAACCCAGACTCCTTACAAACTTGGAACGAACTATTTTTTTGTCTGAAAAGAACTATAAAGTTTAAGAAGGTTTAAAAACAAATATTTCTGGAGCATAAATACATGTTTCATGCATGACAAATCAAGCAATCAAATTATTTGTGGCGATGTAACTTAAAATAACAGTCAATTTCGAGATTTAAAGCTAAGTCTAGCAGTCAAAGACTACAAAATTTATTTAACACTGAGAACTCAAAAATTTCTCGCCTGCGTAACAAATTAAATATTCTAAACTGTAATGCAAAGCTAAATAATGCAATCTTTCTGAGCTAGCAAAACTTAGTAACATGGCCTACAGAGGTAGATGCATGGTCTGATTTAGAATCTAAAACCAACAATTTAAATACCTTGAAACTAAATTTGCATTCTGGTATGGTAATGGAAGGGAGAAGTGACAGTAAAAATCTAAATCACAAGAACTGGTTAAGTTAACATAAAAGAACTCTACAACTGATACATTATTTGCAATACATAAATTGCTGTCTATTAAACTCAACAACTTAAATATATTTGGAACAGAAATGATTTTAATAAGCAGTGGGTACTGTATATAAATAAATAAATAATTTTTTGTTGTAGGTTAAAACATTAAATGAAGGTTTAAAAAAATGAAATTACACAAGACTAATACCAAAACTTTACAATAAATGATGATAAAATGAAAATAAAAATTTCATTCAACAAAAATAAATTGGTAAAAAGTCAGAAACAGCAACAAAGTATCATTTGGTAATCAGATATAATCTACATTTGATACCCTTTGAAACACACCATTTTTGAGCAATAGTCATCAAAGGATAATGCCTAAAGACATTATGCTCCTTCCTCTTCTACTAGTAATTACAGAAGTGGACTTTCTATATTCTACACAAGAACACTTTTATGTCCCTATGCATGATAATTACATTTTCTGCATCAAAAATTACAAAATTCCTTCCAGAAAGTCACAAAATTATCTTCTTAAAATGTAAGTCTGACAGCAAAGTGAAATCGGTTATTCTTCTTTGATGTATACTGAACACTAATGATAATCAAGTGATCTATCTTACTCAATTGAAAGACCTCAGCTGTCAGAAAACCAGAGTTGCAACCTGAAATGACTCTGCATATAAATAAAAAATTCAAACTAAAATATTAATGCTCTTAGTTCTTCCTGATCCGGAATAATTTTCCTTCAACTTTTTTAATTTGATGTTATATTAGTACATATATAACTTTTAACTGATGTTATATGGATCCAGGAGTTCAAGCATCAAAATTTACTTAATGAATACATCATATAACATGGAGGAGAATCAAATGTCTTTATGTCATTATTTTCAGAGAAAACATTAACCACATTTTACCTTAAACAAAATTAGTAAAAATTCTCGTTAAGTTTGCTGTATACTGACAGCACAAGCCAGGATTGAATCCTGACAAATCGGCTCAAAGCACAGGCATTTTCGTGATTTTTTCAAAGTATATAATGTGAATAAAAACAATTTTCTTGAGGAAATTATCCGAGAAAGCATATCTGAGATACATCAAGAGCTTGGCACACCTTTACATTAAAAAGATTCAAAAGTTCTGAGTGTTTGAAGGAAAGAATTTATAGAGACTGATAGAATTTCTCCAAATATTGTCCCTCCTCCCCCCCCAAAAAAAAATCTGAACAAATGTAATACTGCTAATTCAATGTTTCCTAAATGATATTTATTATCACATGAACCTCTAAACTCCAGAATCATTTTTAGAGATCTCATACTTGGATACACACACAAATTAACTGAATAAAAATGTTAATACTCAAAAGAATTTTAAATACTTACAGTCTTCTGAATGCCAATATAGGCTATTAAAGTAAGGAGTATCACAGTATCAGCAGAGAAAAAATATATAAAAGCACTTTTTCTGGAATCACAATGACCAAGAAGTGACACAATCTGAACTACAGAAGCTACTATTCCAGCAAAGGCCTGGAGAGGAGAGAAAACAATGAAATTTAAAATAATGCATAGTATTCTGCTCAAAATAATTTCAAAACAGAGTCAGAAATATACTCACGGCACAATCACTTAATAATATGTTCAATGAAGATATTCTAATACAAATGCTTAGCTTCAGTTATAAAAATCATTCAAAGAGAAAAATGAAAACAAAGAATACACTGATTGCAAATATTTACATATCAGTTTCATTTATACATTTTCTTTATCACTTTATAATTTAAGATGAACTTACATTGATTCAATCAATGAACATACTTTACTCCACTTATCTGAAAGTTAATTCATTATACCAGCACTACAGAAAATATTATTCTTATTTTGCAACATGAGTTTGAATCTCAGTCTTTAGAAACACTTAATGATGAATTCTATGGTTACTTGAACAAGTTAAGAATCATGAATTTAACTTTATTTTTTAAGCTTTTTGAAACAGAAGTAATGTGTTATTAAGTTAAGATTATAAACTGGGATGGTACACAGACTGGTACACTTACTTTTCAGCAAAACAATAGCATCTGATATTTCAAGATTAAGGAGAAAAAAGAAAAAGGAAAAGGTGCATTCTAAAGACTTTAGATTATGCAGCATAGATAATAATTCAAAGACTATATATTCAATTAATTAAATACAATATTAATGATAATTATTAATTACACCATTAAAACATCAGAAAATTATGAAAACAGTTTTCTTAAATGCATATTTTGAAAAATTTCAACAAAACTGCAAATGTTCAATAAAAATTATCAGTTGACCACATAAAAATTTAAATGCCCATTAATTTATATTCATTAAATCAACCAGATATACAATAAAAATAAAATGATGATTTAAATTAATTACAACTGCATTTATAGGTTTTAAATCCCTCAGTTTTTTAATTAATAACACAGATTAAACCTGAAAAGATAAAGAATTTATGCTTTGTCAAATGGCAGCACTCTGAAAATAATCCACTATGCATAAAGACTCATGGAAGCTAGAGTCTGTTTTAAGCAGCGGCAACACTTGTCATGGACTGCTTCTGGATTTTTTCCATTTTTTTTAATACATCAGTTTTTAGAGGATTTTATACAATAAGTGAAAAAAATACACCTTCAAGGCACATATAATATATGTAAGATAAAAAAATATGTAAATCAAAAAAGTTATAATTTAAACTAGCAGTAACCCCATAAATTTTTATTTATAAAAAAACTATTTAAATATGCTATATTAGTGTCTAAAACAACACACAATATAAGGTACACAGAAGAATGGAGTAAAATTATTCTAGTTTTTTCAGCATTCTGTGGACAACCTTATCTAAAGAGTATACTTCTCAATGAAAATATTCAGAGCAAATACACTCCATATTTAATTTATTAGAATAACATTATAAACTTTAACATATTTCAGGCAACATAAATTATGCACAATAATTATTTGAATCTGTTTAAATCACAGCTTCAGTTTATCAAGTGAAATTATACTTTACTATTTTTTAATTTATATTGACCACTGAACTAATTTTTTCACTAATATAGCCTTCCAATAGTTTAATAATGTGCATGGTAACATCACAGCTTCACTTACTGTAACAGAATAAGAGAGAAAAAAGTTCATATGAAGAGCATGTATACACTTTACATCCATGCCTTCTCCAGTATTCAATCAAAAGCTCAACCATTTGGCAGGCAACATTGCTAACAACAACACAAATTAGTGCAGCAGCTTACTATAACAATTATTACTAACTTTAATTTTAATTATGCTTTACAATAAAACTAATTAGAATAATAATTAACAATATAATCACTCTCGAATTATTGTAAAGGCAGATAAAAAAAATTATGAGTGGAGGAAATAGTTTTTTATACTACAACAAGATATGCAACTACGTTTATATATAAATAAAAATTGTTGCTGTATTTAACATTTTTAAATAAAAGAATTATGCTTTAGAAATATGTAAATGACATTGCTTGATAAATAACAAAAGCCCATACACTAAATTTTAATATTTTTTACTTTTCACAAAACTGTTACTGAAATATTTTGTTGCAAATTACATTTCAAGACATGGAATGAGAACAGATATTGAGACTAGTCTTCTTTTATAAAAAGAACTATTAAAAAATATATTAACTAAATAGAACTAATTCAGTAATATAAAAATATTTCTGAATATGTAAATGACACTAATAAGTAACTAATATTAATATACTAAATTTAATTATTACACTTCAAAGGAGGTATATTGTTTTCATTCAACATTTGAAAGGAAAGAATCTATAATAAGCCGTTGGTAAACAATGAAAATATAAGAAACATAAGACCTTGAATTTATTCATCACAGATTCTCAAAGTATACGTATTTACTGAAACAAAATGCTTTAATTATTTTTCAAAGGTAGCTTATCTTTCAAAGGAAGCTAATTTGTTATTGTTTAACAAACTAACTGTTTACTTCTATGATAATTTTATGAGCAACCAGCTTTGCAGTAATTAATAAAAGATGTTGCTAATTAGTTTTTATTTATAGTTTTATAATATTTTACATTTAGTTTTTTGAAAACATTAAAAAAAGTTTTTGAGATTTTTAATAATAAATATACTTTTAGTGACAGTAATCTAAAGTCTTATTCTGACTGCAAATTTCTTGTTTTGTATTTTTTTTTCCTTAATTTTCATCAAACTGCTATTGAAAAAACTTGTTGGGGCTTATACTTTAAAGATTTGAAATCATAATGAAAAATAAAACTAAACAGTTGAATGAGACTATAAAATATGTTGACAGACATGCACCTTTATTTCTAGCAGAACTGTAATGGGAATGTAAAATTTTTTCATGGTGCTATAAATAAAATTTGATTTCTAACATACCCTCTTTCCAAAAACAATACAAAAGACACACACACACACACACACAAAGCAAAGTTCTGCATATCTCATTATCAATTTATTCGGTTCTGCTTTAGGTAAAATTTATTTATACAACATGCATGAAATTAATGCATATCATCCTGTTTCTGTATATTTTTACTCACTATTTCTAGCACATTTTTACCATTGTTTGACAAATACGCTTTCTCTTTAGTAATGGACTGAGATTTTCACTCACTTCTTCCATTCTTGGATTTTAAGCCAGTTTTAAGTTCAGTAGCAACAAGTAATTTTAACAAAAAACTACTTTTGTCTAAAGAAAAAAGAAGTAACTTATGTAGTGAAAAAATAACATCTGCTTTCAGTTATTCAAATAATTCACCCACTTCTTCCACACTTGGATTTTAAGCCATGTTCAGTAGCAACAAGAAATTTTAACAAAAAACTACTTTTGTCTAAAAAAAAAAAAAAAAAAAGAAGTAACTTATGTCATGAAAAAAAAAACACTTGCTTTCAGTTATTCGAATAATAGCCAGCTCCAAAATATTAAACTATCATGATAATAAATAATGTTACACATTAAGAGATAACTCAAAATATTTCAGGCCACACTCGGTAAATATAGCAACACAAAAATTTACATAATACACTGTCTAATACATTTTTTTATTTATGTGAAACATTTTATTTTTTGAAATTAGAATATAATGATAAAAAAAAATAAAGAGTGGACAAAAGGCATTCGCAAAGTTTTTAAAAATTTCACTTGATAATTTGAACAAAAAAGTTTTACCTGCCCTAAAACCATAACATGCATGTATTTTGGTGGCAGAAGAGCTGCTATGGCTGCAACACCAGACTGCAGAACAGCACTTGTAACTAAAATAATTAAAGAACTACATTCTAGAATTGAAATCAATGTGAATGTGTCAAGACTAAAAATATTCAAAAGTGTAATTACACATAGCATATTTGTCACTAATCAGATCTACAACTGCAAAATTCAGGAGTCAACCTTAACCTGCTGACTACTATGGATGAATACACTCACCATTAAGTATCCGCATGCCATGAATAAATATACTCATAAGTATACCAGAGCAATGTGTAACATGCAATAAGACAACAAATGTACAAAATCAGGGTACAAGAGTACTGACTGCAAGGTTGCACTGTGACTTGATGATTGCTTCAAATACTTTTAGACTAATGCCAAGTTGGTGTAACCAAAAGAAAAGGAAAGCAGTTACTGAAGTTCATTCTATATTTTTACAAAATCTGATATATATTTGTTCAGTAGAAGAAAATTCTACTAACCCTCTTAAAAAAAAAGTACAGCAAAATGTGGCAGTCAGCTGGGTAAATCTACATTTTATTGCGTTTCTCACTTAGGCTTGCAAACACAGTAAGCATTAATAGCAATCTTAAGCAAAAGAAAACACTAACAGTGATTTGTTATAAGAGCTTATTCTTCAAAATATGCAGCTACTAAGAGTTTTTTTTTTTAAATTTCTACTGCATGCAGTTTCCTCAAGATAAATAAAACAATGTCTAAGCACAGATCAGTTGAAATATCAAAATAATAAAATTTTGCAGTTACAGAAAATAATGTATTTCAAAGAATTCTGGTGGTAAAGGTACTGTAAAGGCTTATAACAATAAAGTTCAATATTTGAATGCATTTACATATTGCATAGTACAGACACAACTAAGCCTAAAACTAAGAAAATATGCCAAAACTTTTGCCTTGAAGGTAAAGATGTACACTCGAAACAATTTTTTCACTTTTGTTATTTAATACTCAAATAATTTTCAATGAATTTTTCATACATATATTTATTTAAGGAACAAATTACTCATTTCAAAATTTCTCTCTTAGAAGTATCAGATATAGTGAAAGGAAATGTGGTACTTTCTGATTATCCACACTATCCTGAAAAGTACACTCTGTAACAAAAAGTGACATACCCGGAAGAAGTAGGATGTAGTTTCGTACACGTTTCAAACATTTACAATACCTTATAGATTACACAAACAATTAGCTTTTAGCAGCCAATAACTGACTGGCTGGAGCTCTTATGTATTACAATGGAGCATCCAGATGATGTGTAAAACAGAGAACGTTCCAATGATAAGGCATGCGAATGTGATTTCATCAACCCACGTGGACTATAGTACCAACGCTTCGTAAACATGTCACCTTTGAGAGAGGATGTGCAATTGGAAGAAGGGTGGTCAAATCACAAGATCACTCTATATTTGGGTTGGAGTGATGGTACCATTCAACAATGCAGGCAGGAATGCTGAACCAAGGCTGCACGACATGTGAAAAGGTAGAAGATGACCAAGACTGAAGACACAATGATTATCCAATCATCCCCTTGAAGACCCTGATGTGTCCTTATCAACGATCGATGTTTAACTGGACACCAGTTGCTGCAATGACCATTGAAAGGGGACTCAGTGTATGTGTGTGGGGGGGGTGAAGTTGCAGAGATGCACAGGTAACAACTGCCCCTCCACTACTAAGCATGCTTGCAGTGGTGCTGGGTGCATTCAAGCTGGGATCTCAGACTGGACTAGAATTATTTTCAGAGATTAGTCCCACTTAAAACTGAGCTCCATTGAACAGTGAAGACCTATTTAAAGGTGTCCAAGACAGTGGTGGAATACTCACTTGACTGCTGTATGCCACACAGCCTGATCCCAGGAGTTATGATATGGGGTGCCATTTCATTTGATAGCCAGACCCCTTTGGTTGTCATCCATGACACCATTACAGCATAGCATACGTAGACAAGATCCTATGCTCCATGGTGTTGCTCTTCCTTTCATGTATCGCTAAGCTTACATTTCAACATGAGAATGCCTGGCTGCACGAGACACATCTTTCTACTGATCCTATTTCTGCTTCTCCAACAGCTCCCTTGCTGACACAATCACAAGAGTTCTCCAACTTTTGTCTCTGATGAGTAGACACTTCCCACCATGAATGGATAATGCAATTGGCACCATATCAAGGCTTGGTTAACGTCGAAACATGACAACAGGCATTTTCGTCCTGAAAGTAACAGGGGTCCAACCCGCAAAACTGCCACAACGTAGGAAGCACATTGTCATCCAAAATAGTGCAGTAGGCATCGGAGTTGAGCTTACCATGAATGGGGACCAAGGGTCCCAGCCGATACCAGGAGAAACATCCCCAGACCACAATTCCACCTCTGCCGAACTTGACTGTTGGCACAATGCATTCTGGCAGGAGAAGTTCTCCAGGTAGATGTCAAACCCAGACCCTGCCATCCGAACGGTAAAGGGTGAACCTTGATTCGTCACTCCAAAGTACCCGTTTCCACTGATCTGCGGTCAAATTTCGATGTGCTTTGCACCACATTAACCGAGAAGCGCGATTGGACTTTGTGATCAAAGGCTTATGGGCAGCAGCACGACCATGAAAACCAAGCAGATGTGCTTCCTTACGGATAGTATTCATTGAAACAATACTCCCGGATGCCTGTTGAAACTCGCAGATGAGGGCCATCGGTTGGGTTCGGTTCATCCGAATTTCTCTGGACAGCACTCTTCGGTCTCTATCTCCCAGTTTCGTTGATCTGCCGACTCCGGGCACATTCCGACAATAACCGCTCACCTTCCACGTCTTAATCACATAGGCCACTGTCGATTTTGGGTACTTCAGATCGCTAGATATGTCCCTTAAGGATCGGCCACATTTGTGATACCCGATAATTATACTTTTTTCAAAATCAGAGAGCTCTGAACTGCGAGGCATCTTGCATGCGACTAAAGCCGATGCTGTTTCCTACATGATATATACTGGCAGACTACGTGAGGTACCTTAGGACCGCAGATATCGTCATTTGCATAGGTGTCCAAATACTTATTGGTAGTCAGTGTATTAAATATTTTTCCCTCATCAGGCATAAAAAAAAAGGTTCCCTTTACTACAAATATCAATAATAACATTATTTTGAGAATTTCCCATGTTGGGCCACGATATTGAAAGTAGCTTAGAAAATGGCTTTCATAGCAGTTATTTAGGGGCAATACAGAACTGCTTTCAGATGCATCTTTTTTATAAAACAGATAAATAGCATTACTTCTCACTTGAAATCATGCTCCAACAATAACAAAACATACATCAAACCACAGCAACCAATCGCATGAATAGTATGGAAGCTATTTTTTTCCAAAGTCTTCTAACTTTTTTCACTTTTTTGCAATGTCACTCACGTAAGCCCAACTTGCATTTGAAACTGGTAATATTCTTTCTTTATTAGTTCCTTGACCTTTTAGATTGCAAGCAACAATTCATGGGAGTTGCCATGTCTACTCAACTTGCATTTGTTTGTTTACATCATGTTTCACACTTCAAAATAAAAGGGTTCTTCTGATTCTGAAATTTTTATGAGCTCAAAATGACAGCAGTTCAGTGACTGGTTCAATGGAATCAGAATATCTCTTGCAATAAACTCAAAGTCTACAGGCAGTCAAACTTGAGTAGTATGATAGTAATATGTTCTTTTATCTTTAGTATTTATATCTGCTCTTACATGGAGAAAATAAGCATTGCATAAAGCATTAAAATTAGAGTATCCTCATGAGATCTAAAGATAGAAGACTGCACAATTCTTCATTTAAACTTGAAGTTGTGACGTAATCTTTAAAGGAGAGAGAGCAGCTGAAAGGCATTTTGGTACACCTCGGACTGAGATGATAATATGAGAATGGAAAGCAGAAGACGTATTAAATGAAAAAAGAATAAGAGAACTTTCATGTGCTCCTAAATTGGCCAAAACTTGAGGAACATGTTAAGAAAGGGATAATAAATCAAAGGAAGAATAAGATTACTGTTTCAACAAAAATGATTTTAACTGATGTAAGAAAATTAAAATTGATGAAATATATGTATATCATTTTTTTCTGGACAGCGTCATAGTGCAAGATTCATGAAAAGAAATGGTCTGTGCATGCATACCAGAACTACAATAATACAAGAACTCCCACTTGAATACAAGAAATGTGACAAAATTCCACAAATACATCATAAATTTGAAAAAAAAAAAGATGCATTTTGAGATAGCACAAATAGGACACATATGACAAATAGGACACATATGACAAATTTAAGTTTCATGTTCCATCAAATAAAACATGGATGTTAAAGATGATAACAGTGAATGTTACTGTCAAGACAATAATGATAAAAACTTCTGGTAACAACAACAACTAAAAACAAAAAAGTGCTATACTTCTTGCATGTTGTGCTGACAATTTAAAACTCTCTCCTTTGTTAATCTTTAAATTAAAAATGTTACCTAAATGTAAATCTCCATATGGAATTTGAATTCATGTTCAGCCCAACGGATGGCTGAATGGATGGATTGAAAGGGTATAAAGCAGTAGTTACAAGTGAGGTCATAATGTCATTTAAAAAGCATGGAATTAGCAACATGCTAGATGGAACTGAAGATGATATTTTATATGACATATCCAGCAGAAGTGATGGCCAAAGTGAAAATAATTGTGTATATGACTTTAGCAACAGTGATGGCAAATTCTGGGATTCTATGAAGATAAATGTTGATACATTTGCTAATTTTGTAATATAATTGTTCCATTATTGTTATATAAGGTGTTATCATCAAAATAGGTACTTTGATCCTTTTTTTTCTGATCCAAATATGTTTTGTAAATTTTAATTTGAGAAATCGCACTGCGTCTTATATGTTGGGAAATATAGTAAGCCTTTTATTATGGGTATTTCTTGTGTTCTTAATTTTGTTAATTGGCCTGTTTTATGTAATTCTTAGTACACTGCCATTTTTGAAAATGGCTGCTGTCTTTTGCCTTTTAGCTTGGTGACTTTTTGAGATAAGATTGAGGATAATCAGAAAGAACCAAACAGTTTTTAAATGGAGATCCATCAAATCTATAACATAATTTATCACCTTTTTACAATTTTTCAAAAATCACAATTTTTATCACCGGATATATATTATTTTAAAATTTCAACATCCAAACCTATATATTTATTACGAAATTTTGAAATTTTCTCACATTATAAAACAAACTATGTTACAAAAAAGATACAAAATATTAATTAGGTAATTAATTAATATAATTAGGTGGTTAATTAGGTCTCCAAATACACAGCATTATTATTTCAAGCAGAGAATTCTTGAAAATCTGGTACGTACAACACATCCTGCACTTGAAAATCATTTTAAATTAAAGTTAAATGATTCTTATATACTCATAACTGCAACATCATGTAATCACATTTTCTTCTTTGTTTTAAAAGTATTTACCAAGGCTTGTCATTTTATAAGTGCACTGTTCTTTGTAGTATTATATTTAACTGAATATTTTTCTCATTTTAAAGCATAATTATTTTAAGTATTTATGAAATAATTTGCTTTTCAAGGATAGACTTTGGCTTTAGTATTTATTTTGTTTTATTAATGTAAAAAAAAAATCAATGCATTTTTTTCTTCCAGATTTAATGTACACATCAAGAGAATTTAAGAACTGATTGACGCTTAGAATTATTTGCTGGTAAACTACTATTTTGCCATTTTAGGAGTTTATATACAAGGGGTGATCAAATGAAAGGTACGAAATGACATAAAAATGTAACAGTTCAATATTTGCATATTCCGCCATGGAAGAACGTAGCAAGACATCTCGGGGTGCAATTCGAGTCTCTGACTGGGATCAGATAATGCGCGGGCGCCCACATGTGCAGGAGAGAGCAGAAGCTCTAATCAAAAGCGGTGTCCAAATAACGTGCAGTCTCTATGAGGACAGGATAGCATTCGCGTTGCAAAATTCAACAACTGAGGAGCAGCAAGGTGTTATTCGATTTTGAGAAATCGGCAGCTATTCATCGCCAGTTGAGTTTAGGGGTGACAGTTTAGGGGGAGAAATGTGTCTCAGACAAGTATGTCAGAAAACGAAGTGCCTGTTTTCATGCAGGCCGTGAGAGTGTGGGTGATGACCTGAGATCAGGCCAGGCAAACACTGTCACCATGAGCGATCTCATCGACAAGTAAGCAAAAGGAACTGTGTATGGGGCTAGCACTGCAACATCTGTTTCGGTATCAGGAAGACCCCGCTTTCATAGAGCGGATCGTCACAGGTGATGAGACCTGATACCATCACTACGAGCCAGACACAATGTGGGACAGCATGCAGTGGAAGCATGCGTCGTCATCTCCCCCTAAAAACTTCAAAGCCGTGCTGTCAGCAGGCAAGGTGTTGCTCACCATCTTTTTTTATGTTCAAGATCCGCTACTTGTGGAATTACAGAAAAACCATTAACTCCGATGTGTAGTATGAGACACTCAGATGCCTACACAGGTCCATCAAGAACAAAAGACCGGGACTGCTCACGGAGGGTGTGGTTCTGCTCCATGATAACGCATCTCCAGAGTCACACACATGGAACTGGCTAAGTTCAAGTGCGAGACTTTGGACCATCCGCCCTACAGTCCGGACATGTTGCCCTGTGATTTCCATGTGTTTGGTCCACTGAAGAAACACCTAAAAGGGAAGCGCTTCAACTCGGACGACGTACTCAAGGACGCTGTGAAGGACTGGGTCTCGTCACGGCCACTGGAATTCTGGGAACAAGGAATCCCGCGGCTTGCTCATCAGTGGGATCGTTGTGCTCAGGCCTATGGTGTATATTTTGAATAAAGTCTACATTTGTACCCACCGTGTCGTTTCGTACCTTTTCATTTGATCACCCCTTGTATAAGCTTCTTAGTACTTTAGGTACTTTCTGGTTATTCCCACCCATGGTTAAACTTTCAGTCGAATTGCCTTTTTCTTGACAGGAATTTTTTTTTTTTTAATTTTTTTCCCCTATATGTGACAAAACAGCCAACTCACATTTTCTTTTATAAAGCAAAATGCACCAAACAGTTACCAGCAGAGAGATATATATGCCAAATCTATTGTTATAACAAGAAAATGTACTTTCATCATCAGCTTGCTGTGACTGTAGTACATTTTTCTAAATGTAAAAGATTCTTTTAGACAGTTATTCCAATAAATTGTAGAGACATTAGGTTAATTGGAAAAGCCGGAGAGATGAAAAACTAGCAATCGCCTTCACAGGGAATCGAACCACGGACCTACGGAATACTGGCCCAGTGTGCAGAACCACTACACCACGAAGGCAAGCTAGGAAGGCGGGAGAAATACCTTAAATACTCCCCCTTTAAAGGGCGACTGGGGTTCTTAGGGAACCCAATCGCCAAATCTTGGGTGAGGAGAATCATCATCCAACACCGTTTTAGTTCGGGCGCCACTGTAGAGACATTAGGTTAACTGGAAAAAGCCAGGGAGATGAAAAATTAGCAATTGCCTTCACCGGGAATCAAACCACAGACCTCTGGAATACCAGCCCAGTGTGCAGAACCACTACACTACGAAGGCATGCTAGGAAGGCGTCCTACATTTTGTTATTTTATTTCAAAAGTTGATTTTCTAATTTTATAACTAAATGGAACATTTTTTTCCCTAGGATAAATTTTCCATTTATTGTTAATTTTTTTTATTAGTCTCATATTATCTTTATACATTTATTACTTCAGATTTAGATCACATTTTAAGAGAATTCAAAAGTTGGTTAACATTTTGAATTACTATCTTTTTGGTGAGCGCCCTCCTATCATTTTTACATGCTTATAATCTTGTTAGCATTCCATTTTTTAAATTAGGCTAAATTTCAATATAAAATTATTTTTTCACCAGAAGTGATATTTAACATTGTTAGTTCTATGAAATACTGACTACTTTAAGAGATGATTGTCTATAGAAGTAATCACCATGAAAGGATTCAATTATGATCTAAAGGGTATCAAAATTTACAAAAAAAAAAAAGCTTAATATTTATTTATTTACTTTATTAAACATTTCTTTCAATGTAAGTTGTTTAAGTTGCTTCGCTTTTTGTGCTAATACTTTCTCTTTAATTCTCTCTTCAATAAACAGACATAATTTCTTGTTCAGTTAGAAAGTTCCACTGCTCAAATCCTGTAATTGCTGTGTCGAGAATACCAACTAACTTGTCAATCGAAATTTTTTCGCTTTCAATAACCTCTCTGTCACTTTCTTCACTGTCACTTCCTCTCTGTCACTTCTTTCACTTTCTTCGAGAATACCGATTAACTTGTCAATCGAAATTTTTTCGCTTTCAATAACCTCTCTGTCACTTTCTTCACTATCGGAAGCATGCATGTGTAAATGCTTTACTGGCTTTACGCACATGCGTAGCAGACACGTGCATCAAACGCGCACGCATAAGTTTGTGGCTTTGAGGTCTGGATTATGGCCGTCCGGATTACGTACTTTGTACTGTACCATGCTTCATGGTACATCATACCAAACTGAATTTAGTCATTCTTATGCTTGCAAGTATGACAATTTGATTTTAATAATTTGAAATGCAAAATAAGCACGTAATCGAATTGTTTACACTTTGTTTGTATAATATATATATTTTTTTTATATCTTTTACCCCACTCCTGCTCCCCAGTAGCCTCCCACCACTGAAATTGGCAAAAAAAATAACTTATACCATACCTATATATTTATTTTCTGTCTCCCCCCCCCAAAAAAAATCATTTTTTACGTTTTTCAAAAAAAAAAAAAGTGCTTTAAGGGGTTAACTCTGTATCAATATTTTTTTTTTCTTTTTCTGTACATTTTTCTTAAAAATATTTTATGAAAATATATTATTTGTGAAAATACTTGCAAAATCTCCATTTTCAGAGCATGTTACCAAGTCTGTAATCTGATTTTTAACAATCTAAAGTCACTGAAGCATTCTATAAATTAAATGTGCATAAAAGAACTTTTGAATGAGGTTGAATGAGATTACGAAAAGCAGGTTACTGAAAATTATTTCATTAAAAGATTCAAAAAGATACTTACTAAAAAAAGATAGTTACTAAAAATTTAAATATATTGTTAAAAGTGTTTTTAATTTCTGCTGAATTTCTGATACAAGCTTCACCTCAACTATAAGGAAAGTTACTGTGGTTGATCATTATTGTTATAATGCTCCAAAGGCTGACTTCTAAAATTTAAATATCGATACTTATTCATGAGTTATGAATTTTGTGAATATTCATACATTTAAAGCATAATATTACTCGTATTAATTTTCAACATGCATTTTTTTTTTTTTTAATCTTCATCACTCAGTTTGTGCTATACTCATTCCCTTCCTTTAAGTTTGATTTGATTTTAAATTAAAATTTTTCTTGCTTATAAGGATAAATATAAACAAATAAACAACAAAAGATTTCCATACATAAGTAAATACCATTTCACACGTTAACAAAAGTTTAAAAAAAAATAAGACTTACTTCCAACAAGTATTATTAATAAAAGTGTCAGATCAAAAAAGACCATTTCCCCTACAAAGGTTAAATGCATTCATTATACTGCAAATGCATAGATAAATACATTCACAGATACTTAAGATGGTAAATGAAACAAAAATATTATGAAATTATTTCTCTTTCTATATTTAATATATTAATTAATATTTACATATCCCATTGGCTTAACCATTAGTTGATTTTTCACTAATATTTCATTTTAGCATAGAAATAATTCAGTGATCATTTTAGCCTATAGTTTTAATGTTAATTCTTTTCTTGATTTTTAACATTACTCCAAATAAGTTTATTAAATTCTTGTAACAGGGTTCATAGCCACATTTTAGTTAAAAAATAAGCACCTATAAGCACATTTTAAGGAAAAAATAAGCACCTGTCTAATTACATTATACACAACTGCATAAACTTAAAAGAAAAATTAGACTTGTAATTTGAAATATGGGCAATGCAATATTTATTAAGAGAATGAGCATTACCTCAACAATGGATAACAATTAACTTTTTTTTTTTTTAATTTTAAATGACTGTTCAATTTACAGAATTAGTTTACAACAAGAGGAAAAAAAACTATGCTGAACTAAACAATATTACAAGATTTAATGATGCTATTTCAGTTGAAAATATAGAAAATAAATAATAATAAACCATATTAATTGTATTCATTTGGCACCTAATAATAAATACAATTTATTTTCCCACTCATATTAATATTTAAATAATTTCACTTAAATCAAAATTCTGAACATTTTCTAAATTTTCATTGCATAACAGTTTTCTCTTAACATATATTCCAAGCAAAGTAATTTAAATAAAAAAGAGGTACATTTCTGAAATCAGAAGACAGGAAATTGCTTCATTCAGTCATCCTTTAACAGTAAAAGCTTAACTAACCCGCATATTCGGAAATTCCCAAATATTCCAGATAGTAACTGAAAAAGAGGAGTGGGGGAGATTGTAGCCGTTCTTTAGATTTAAATTTAGGCTAAATAAATGATTTTGACATTTTGATATGTGCATCATATAAAAATAGACCAACGGAATTGAGAAATATTCTGCTTAGAAAGTACAGTAAAACTCTTTTAAGTGTTCATAAACAAATCTCAGACTGAACATCAAAATTAATTATCTCTGCAAAATACCGCAAACGTTATTGCGCAATACGTGCATGGTAATTCTTCCATATGTGATATTACGCAATCGGAATCAACACCAGCCAGTATTTGGAGAATAAAGAACTAAATAAAGGAAAAGAAAGAGACTTTAATTTTCAACAGACTGTATTAAATTTCCGGAATAGAATCAATCTTCCCTTGGGTTGGGTAGACCGCAAAAACTTTTTAGTCCTATTCAATCCAGATTGGACAGTGACAAAAAAAAGTCCACTGCTTCAATATCAGAGATTTTGCAGAGAAATTCCCAACCTCCGTAATGTATAACGTATTGGCAAAGAAAATGAAATTATTTTGACTATTCGATTACTTTTCTTTTATTTAAGCCATTCCGAATATTATTCCTTAGAAAGCTAATCTGTGTAAAAACACACCCGTTTTTGGAAGTTTATCTATACTTCAGCAGTTACTGCAACTATATTATTATAAATATTCATACATATGCTCATAATATAAGCATAACGATCATAATAAACATGAATATGAACTGACCACGTGGAACGAGAATGCAGATTATTAAAATCTTGATAGAAATTCAAACATGTGTAGTATTTGTGTGGGAGGAAAAGAATACCGAATGTACCGGAATTTTCTACCCTTTTTGAAATTCTTTGGCCAATAGACGTGCACCTGCCTGTACTGTCGTCCGCACCATAGGTTAAGTTGATGCAGAGGAAGGGGGGAATAGCAATTTCCGGGAGTATGATTCACCATCTGACGTTGCATATAAGGTAGAAATGTTGTTTATTTAGTTTTGGCTTTGGTACGGGGGAAAAATGTGCATTCATTAAAAACAAAGGATTAAAAAAAAAAAGCACTAAAAGCAAAAAATAAGCACTAAAAACAAAAAAAAAAAAAAAAAAAAAAAAGAAAAATAAGGGCTTTAAAGAAAAAGTAAGCACCTATAAGGGCCTTTATATTTTATTTTCAAATATAACGGCTTATAAGCACTTGTAAGAACCGCTACGAACCCTGTGTAAATATATATGTCATAATAAAAGCATAAGGAAAAGACGGAACACTGTAGATGCGTAGTTATCCTATATTGAAGAGGAAGTAATCTGATTGCGTCGTAAGCTAATGTGTTGACTTCGTAAATTAAACTTGGCAGTAGAAGCGATTTTAATTCCATTTTTATTTCCAATTGACATTATGTGGCCACAGATGACTTGGCACTCTAGTCGTGCCTTTCCACAAAAGATTTACATTTTTGTTATTTTTGAGATAGAAAGCAAACCAGCGGAATTACATCTTAGCACAGTAGAGAGCAAAAGGTGAAGTGTGTCGTTATAAAAGATGGAAGCACGCGAAGAGAAAAGTTTTGGTTTACAAGGACAGTTTCAGTTCCCAATGATTACGTCATCAGAGCTGCGCCGATCATAGAGTGATCTAGAAATGACGCAATGCAAAGAAGTTATTACGATTTTAGAATAAAGACGAAGAATTAATGTTTATAGTTATAATTCTGATTCATACATTTTTATCTTACATATTCCCCCCTTCAAAAAGAAAAAGGCGTAGCGACAGAGAAGCCTTTTTAAAGAGAAAGAGGTAAAGTACTAGCAAATGTTAAAAAAAAAAAAAAAAAATCATAAAATTTTTGTCCTGTACAGTATAATTTATAAATATCAATTTTATTAAAATAAATTTTTAATTTTTAAGAGTCCTATTGAATTTTTCAGCATTTCGGTCCAAAAAGTCTTTTTGTTTGAGAATTCACATAATCATAATTCTTCAGAGAAGGTTCTTGTTATTACAGAATATCACAAAATAAACTTTTACATAATCATTACTTATAGTTAAATGTAATGCACATAAATATTTATGATACTTATTTCTATACTGATAAATTATAATTTAACATCATAAATAATAGGATTAATATTTTCAGAATTTATGGTTTCACCGTTATCATCTTTCATTTACAATTCCTGATTTTACCAAACTGGAAGCCTCGCAATACTTCTAAACAAACATATCCATCAATAGGGCTGTCCTCTTGAGCTAACCAGTGTGTTTGTTCTCTGCACTGGTCGCCCAGGGTGCCTAGACAGTTACTTGAAAAGGCCTCCGTTCCTTGCATTAAGGTAACTGGCCTTTGAGAACTGCATTAATACATTCCATAATAATATAATAATAATAATAATAATAATAATAATATAAAAAATTTACATGCATTCATAAAATGAGAGCCTCCAACATTATCTTGCATGAAGAGGGTAAAAGGAACAACTGTACAGAGGTAATTACAGGCCTCTGTTGAAGGAACCAGTACACCCTCAGCATACTATACTTAACACACAATAACCCATAAATTTTAACATGCATTTACCATAATTTCATATTACTTATCTGTACTAATTTCACTTATTTTTAACATCTTTATTTTTAGAATAATTATAAAATTCGTATTCAAAATTCTCAACAAAATTTCAAAAACATAAAAACTTATCCTTATATCCTTCCCTATGAATAATTTAAATAGCTTAAAATTAATTACTTAATTTGCTCACACATAATAAGAAAAATTAGAAAAATTAATGAACAAGAATTTAAGATTTTCTCAAAACAAATTGCAGAAATTTTAACCAAAGTTGAAATGAAAAACTATAGAATCCGCAGCACATTAAATAATTTAGTTCCTGAGCTAGATTCACACGAATGTAATAATTTTTGAGCTGTTGAAAAAGCGGAAGTGCAAATAATTTTCTGTCGCACATACTTGCAAACACTAACTCAGATCGACCTTCAACCCGCTGTAATGCTTAATTCCTAAACGGTAATTCACTGATGATTTCCTTTTCACTAGGCATTTAAACTTCTCAATTTATCGAGATATTACTTTCAATCTGTAACCACTACGCGTGATTATTTTTTTTGAAGCACTTGCAAAACACCATAGCAGAAGAATGATCTGTTATTTTTTAAACACTGAAAAAACAAATTTGATGATTCACTTCTTTCACATTATCTTGGATTTATCACAAAACGATGATTTGAAGAGCTGAATTAAATTTTCCATTGAGGTTTCAGGCTGCAGGAAACTATCCTACCGGCTTAATTGTCATAATAAAAGCACAAGGAAAAGACAGAACACTGTAGATGCGTAGTTATCCTATATTGAAGAGGAAGTAATCTGACTGCGTCGTAAGCTAATGTGTTGACTTTGTAAATTAAACTTGGCAGTAGAAGCGATTTTAATTCCATTTTTATTTCCAAATGACATTATGTGGCCACAGATGACTTGGCACTCTAGTCGTGCCTTTCCACAAAAGATTTACATTTTTGATATTTTTGAGATAGAAAGCAAGCCAGCGAAATTACATCTTAGCACAGTAGAGAGCAAAAGCTGAAGTGCGTTGTTATGAAAGATGGAAGCACGCGAAGAGAAAAGTTTTGGTTTACAAGGACAGTTTCAGTTCCCAATGATTACGTCATCAGAGCTGCGCCGATCATAGAGTGATCTAGAAATGATGCAAATTACGATTTTAGAATAAAGAGGAAGAATTAATGTTTATAGTTATAATTCTGATTCATACATTTTATCTTACATATATATCCTCATTCTCTATCTCCACTAAGACATTGCTGGATCTCAATGGTTTCATAGAAGCAAGATGGAGATATATTTTTAAAGATCATCTTTTTTTAAGAGTAATTCTCAGTAAAATAAAACATTATAAGGCAATTTAAGTGTCATGAAGAGTGTGCCTGTTGCTGACAATTTCAAGTGCAAATTTTACATACAAACAGCAAACTACTTGTTAGCGAAATACAATAGACTACTTGTTATTTAGACAAAGGCAAGCATAAAGGCAGTGAAGATAATGTTAATAGTGTTATGTT